CAATTAGTTTAGAAAACTTTGAACATCAGATTTTCAGGAGCATAAGTTTTACCAATGTGAACTTTTTCCCAAAAATGTTTACAGTGAAGATCATAAACATGTTTTCGCCATGCAAGCTGTAATATAATTGAACCCTGTGTTTGAAAAAACCTAATGTTGATGCCGGAACATTTTCCTGTATTAGTTGTGTCAAAGCAAAGACCCTTTATATAAGTTCTTAGCTTATATTCATCCAAAATATTTATTAAATTATCGTGATGAGATTTTCCAGTACAAATTTCCATTAGCGGAATGCCAAGAAGTCATAAGTCACCATCGATATTTACAAGAACAGCATCTCTTTTTTGTTTTGTACCGTTAGTAATATCCTGCAAGATTTTTCCATCAAAGTGTGCAATTATTGGAAATTTACTTTGACTTGTAGCTTTTATTATATCTTCTCGATATTTAGCTGCACTTGTACTTATTGCTTTCTTTTTTGAACGTCTGATAATAGATTCAGAAAGCGAGAAATCTGTCAAACTGCCCCCAGAAGTAACTACTATGTCAGAGAGCAAGTGCATCATATTTCTAGGTGAAATATTTTTAGAAACACCTGTAATTGCAACTTCTTTTGCAAATTTTTTAGGTAATACTGTTGAAGCACTAGTACCTGATTTTATTTCGTTTGCTGAATAGTCGGAATTCTGACATAAGGAGACCTCACTTTGTTCTGATGATAAAAATTCAATTTTCTCAGTTTGATTCTCTTGTTGCTTAATAAATGTTAAACATCGCAATTTTCATTCTTCTATTTTTTTCAGCTTTCGGTAATATGCTAAATCCTTTGAATCAAGTATCATTTTACGTTTCGTCATTTAATCATTTAAAAATTGTTATCTGAATTGTATGAATCTAGGTTGTTTCCATGTTTCTTCTTCAAAATGGAGCAAATATAAGGTTTTCCAATCCAAAAAACTTTTTTAGCATTTTTTAAAAAGATATTTCTAGCTATTTTTTTTCAACGTTGACCATTTTTCAACTAGATCATTTAATAGTTTCCTAGAATATATAATATTTATTTAACTTTTTTCTAATTGCTTTTTAATGTAGCCTCATATCAGAGAGTGAAAACAGGCAACAAATTAATATAAGCAAAAGTAAAAATCGGTAAAAATAAAAAAACTCTAATTATAGTTCATTTAGCAAACCTGATGTGTTTGTCATGAAATATTCCGCCGTCGTATCCTCCATCGATCCACGGTTTCTTAATTGCAAAAAGAATGCAGTTCTGAGGACATAATTTTAGTTCAGAGCATGCTGACATCATTTTATCTTGGGAAGCACAACCAATCAAAGTTTTGGTGGGAGCATTTTTGTCTAACAGACGCCTGAGTTATGATGGTCAAATTTAGATTTTATATATTTCGTTTTTCAAACTGAAATTTAATTACTTGGTTAATATATTGAATGATAATTTATCATCAGTTTAATGTTTTAATCTGTAATAAAAATGAAGAATAATTTCCTAATTTGTGGCAAACTACGTTTCACAAAGTTTTTCTAACATTTTTTTTTTCTTCAATTAAAAATTTTTTTAACGTCTTTGAAAGTGATCTCTTTGGTAGCATCTTTAATTTTTTTTAAATCTTCGGTTTTTTTTCTCTTTAAAGTAAAAGTTATAAATTACAGTTTATAATATTAAAAATATTCTTAGCTTAATTAAAAGTGTGGAACAAATTCGTTTTTAAATCTTTTCTAATTTTTTTAGAACAAATAGTTCCAAAAAGAAAGATTCTTTTTGTTTGTGACACACGTGAGTTAAATTCGATCGCAAGCGTCATTCTATTTAAATATACTTAAAAATTATGTTTAGTTTGTGCGTTTTAAACTATTTTTCTTGACCTAAATTAGTATATATGTTTTTATTGTAAACTTCCCAACCAATTTCAAATTGCGGGGACCTTAAGAAAAAGCGGGGACCTTAAAAATGGGTTTCAAAAAGTTTTTTTAACGTAAAATCATTTTTATCCAACCGGTCAACTAATCCAGGTGGTTGGGATTTAGTTTGAAAAAATTGTTAAAAAATAGCGCACTCTTATATATATATGTATATATATATATATATATATATATATATATATATATATATATATATATATATATATATATATATATATATATATATATATATATATATATATATATATATATATATATATATATATATATATATATATATATATATATATATATATATATATATATATATATATATATATATATTCAAATTTGTTTTCAAGACTGGTTTGAACGACTTGGAATCTGATTATTCAAGAACGATATCTTTTCAATTTTGTTTATTGCATAGTACTTTAGTCAGACTTCAGGTTTGAAGTATAAATTGAAATTTCAAATTCGCTTCTCGCATTCCAAAAAGATATTTGCTTTTTCAAGTCGGCGTTTTAAGTCTAACTTGGAAACGGCCGGTTTTAAAGTATAACTGGAGTTCAAGTTTACACTTTGCATTTGCTCAAGTCAAATTTCAGATTTGAAGTACGACTTAAAAATTATAATTTGCTTTTTGCATTTCACTCTAAAATTGAATAAAACATTTATCATTAAAATATAGTTTTAAAACCTAATAAATATTTGCAAAACCATAAAGTGTTTAAACTTGGATTACTTATAACAAACTTTTTAAGTAAACTAAAGCCAATAAAAAAATTTAAAAATATAGCACTAGTTATCTTTTGTACATTAATTATTTTATCTTATTCATTATCTAATGCTTATCTGAGCTTAATTTAATCTTATCCAATAAACTGCTTATCTAACCTTTTTTTAGCAAGGTTGGCGCGCAGGGTGGTGGGGGGAGGGAGCGGCAAGAAGGTAATGTGTGTTACACTCCCTCATAATAAATTTTTCTTTCATTTAGTTGGCACATTTTACTTTTTTAGAAAAGCCACTCGGCAAAAGTAGACCCTTAGGTAAAACTCTCGGCAAACGTAGACGATCAGTCGGCAAACGTATTTTGGCGTTTAAGATAGCTAAGACATGGACATAGCTTCCAGACAATACTTATACTTATCTCAAATAATGATGCCTTGCAAAAAACTGTGATGATTAAATGGAACAAAAAAATATTGTCTTTACTTAATGCCTCTAGGTGTCGGTTAGGGAGTGTGGGGGAATAAAGTAAAAGGGCTACCATTCATCCTCCCTCCTCCCCAACCCAAAGTAAGGGCATTAAGTTGATAAAATATTTTTTTACTATTCTCAGCTAGACTTGTATTCAACAATAAATTTTAAGTTTTATAGTATAATCACTTACCGACCGAAAGAAATGACCACATAAACTTTGTAACCCCCTCAAAATGTGGAATGTTTACAATTTGTATCGGTATTATTATCTCCGCAATATGAAGATGGACAGCCAAAGCGATTTATTCGACAGATGACTTCCTTCTTTGCAATAAACAATATAACTTTAGATCAACACGTAGCGTTTTTGCTTGCCGCTCTGCCGTTAAAAACTTACAAGACCATGGAAGAATTAACAGCACCGGAAGTTCCAGAGGATGTTTCGTACGAAGAATTGGTAACGAAATTGGAAACGTTGGAAATAAGAAAATCATCGTTAATCTCACGGCATGAGTTTGGAAAAGTTTACCGAGGTACTGAAGAATCTATACAAACGCTCGCGCATCAAGTGATTCAAGCAGCTCAAGACTGCAAGTTCTTGCCCTCAGAGAGAGACGGCCGACTTCGTGACCAATTCATAATTGGCATTAATGATGGTGCCATTCTGCGTGTCATTTTTCGGGGAGACGATGCATTGAGCTTTGACAATTGTGTCAAGGCTGCATCCGTGGTTGCACATACAAGATTAGATGCGGCATGTTTGTCTGTGAATGAAGAAGTAAATGTGATTCACCGGACGACTGGAACGACAAGTTATACACAAAGAAAGAAAGAAATTCGATGTTACAACTGTGAATCCTTAAATCACTTAATCCTTAAATGTACCTCTTTATGCAAATGCTTGCATAAACATGCTGCAAAAGACTGCTACAAACGTCAAAGAAACCAGGAAAACTTAAATGGGACGAGTTCGCATTAGGTATCTTTACAAGAAATCGTCCCGAAACAAGACTACCTACTATTGACTTGGTAATAAACGGAAGAAAAGCTACAGCGCTTGTGGATACTGGTTGTTTGCAATCAATCATCACCAAGAAGTTACTGCCGCCTGACTATAAAGTGATTCGTGTAGTAAATGTTGCAACAATGGGCGGAATAATTCGATGCGAAGAAGTTAGTGCTAAAATATGCCACCAAACGAACGGGTGCTTGGTGGATGTGGTGGTTCTGAGTGTGAATGAAGTAATAAACAAATACGACATGATTATGGGTATGGACTTAATAAAGACGTGTGATGGACTACAAATTGGCACTGGAAAACTGAAATTGTGTAATTCTTTGATTGAGTTGTCATCGAAACTTCGTGTTGCGACAATTGAAATTGGAACAAGCAAAGCTTATTTTGATGGCAAAAAGTGGATTGTAAGTTGGGAGTGGGAAAACGAACCTAAAATGAAAAATAGAACAAGTCAGTATAATGTAGCTGACTAACATTGTGAGGCGTTTAACAACAAAATAAATGAATGGATCAAAGAAGGTATACTCATCAAGTATGACGATAAAATTATGGGAAAACCTAAAGGTCTACTACCGTTAATGTGTGTCATTCAAGATAACAAAAAGAAGATAAGACCTGTGCTTGACTATCGTGAGCTTAACACGTATGTAAAAGCCTCTACAAGAGATGCTGATGTCATCAATGATGCAATGAAGGAGTGGAGACTCATGAGCAAAAACAGCAATGACTCGGTAGTGGATCTAAAAAGAGCATATTTACAAATTCATGTGCATAAAAGGCATTGGCCTTACCAGACGGTCATCTATAAAAATCAGCGATATGCACTTACACGTTTGGTTTAAGTTTGGCACCAGTGATGATGAGCTCAATATTGCGGTATGTTCTCCAACAAGTTTCTGCACTGGCAAAAAAAACAAGAGGGTACATTGATGACACCCTTGCAACCAATGGAAATGGAGGAAAGCTGGTGATACATATGAAGAAATGGGGTCTTCATGCAAAAGCACCTGAATATTTTGGCGAAAACCCAGTTCGTGCACGAGGATTAGAAGTCACAGTAAATCCATTAACAAAGAAGATGTTTTGGAAAAGAGGACGCGAGCTTCCTATTATAAAATCTGTGCTAACAAAAAGGGATATATTCTCATTATGTGGTAATCTGATTGCTAATCTACCAGTTGTTGGATGGTTGAGACCGGCATGCAGCTATGTAAAAAGATGTACTAACGAAGCAGGTTGGGATGAACCTATTACGAATAAGTATGTTACCGAAATGATGCAGGAAGTTGTAGATAAAGCCGTAAAGTGCGATCCGGCAAAAGGTGTATGGAATGTTAAACCAAATACATCTCTGACTGTGTGGTGCGACGCAAGTTCGCTGGCAAAAGGAGTTGTGTTAACGCAAGGTGACAGAAAAATAGAAGTTGCGACATGGCTCCGACCAAAGTCTGACGCAATGCATATCAATGTGGCCGAATTAGATGCATGTATTGAAGGTCTAAATATGGCATTGAAATGGAATCCAAGTGATGTCTCCATTAAAACTGATTCTCATAGTGTATTTAGTTGGTTAAAGTCTGAATTGACTCGTGACAAACCTGTGAAATGTGCTGGGCAATGCGAAATGTTAATTCGACGAAGACTTCAAATATTTGAAAAATTGGTCGAGGATTATGTCATAAATGTAACTGTTACATGGGTACCAACAACTGAAAATATTGCAGATGGACTCACAAGAGCTTGAACAACCATAGTTGCACTTTCGTCGCTTAATGGTGTCCATAACGTAAATCTGCTTGGGCCGCAATCAATACAAGTGAGATATAGCGATGAATCAACATGAGTAACATCGCAGGCTACTCTTTCCCATACTTTGCTAACAGCAAGATTTCCTTTATCCCACAACATCACATTAGGGTCAATCGAGTTACATTCATCGCATTCAGCGACAACCTGTTTCAATGTGTCTCTGGTAACGTGGATACCAGCGCGCATACTTAACTCCAAACTCTTGGAAACTCCCATGTGTGCTAGTGAATAAGTTTTTCGAATCTGCTGTTTATCGTACTTGTAAATGGTATTACATTCTTGTTGTTCAACGCATTTAGAAGCCATTTTGTTTTTAATGTTTTTTTTTATTACTTATCAACAATCTTATGTTTTTACAACAAATTTGTTCACTATATATAGTATTTAAAAATTAAACTTGTGACTCTTGTCAACAATTAGTGGTCGTTATACAAAATGTTATAATAATAGAAAATCACAACTTGTAACTTTTGTCAATAATTAGCTCGCTAATTATTAATGACGCACAACATCCCCCTTAGCTCAACAAGAGCTCATACGTAATCGTTGTACTTCCGATTAGGAAGTACTCTCCTTCCATAGCGAGTGAATTGAACAGGCTGTGACTCTGTTTCACCATCTGTTGAATAGTTTTGATTGCTGCCCGTACTATTGTCATTTTTACCATTATCCGGAGGATTTATTTGAAGATTTGGATCATCATTGACAATGTGTTTTGAGCTCATTTCGGGAAGTTTAAATAGTGTTGAATCATAATCATCTGTAGTATCTTTTATCAGTAACATTTATCGGTAAATATAATTGTAGTTTAATATATATGTTGAGTGGAAAAGTATAAAAAACATTTTATCAACTTATTGCCCTCACGTTTGTAGTGGAGGAGGAGGGGCTTGGGTTGTAGGAGAGGAGGGGATAAAAAATAGGTTTATTTATGAAAAAAAAACGTTTTTACATATATTATAGAAAACAACATTTTTATCAGTTAAACAAATATTCCATAAATAAATATGTATTAAATCCATTATAAACTGTCTATATGTGAACCGAAATTATAAGTACTCTATGTATTATATTTTTGTTCTTAAAGTTTTCAACGAAATCAAAAAAATAAATAAAATAAGTAATTTTTTTTTTCAAATTAAATTTTTAAATTAAACTGGTTAATTTATTGATTCTACGTCTTTTAAAACTTAATAAAACCATTCAATTGATCACTATATAATTTTCTCATTAAATACTTATAAAATAAATTTAACACATTAAATGATCATATTAAAGTAAAAAACTTTTAAACTCAAAAACATTACTTTATCTAATAAACAAACATTTCATTTCGGAATTTTTTTACTCAATGATATTTTTTAAGCAAACTTAAAGTGCTCATATTACCAAGTGGTTCTGGTATTATGAGAACCTTTTCTACTTTATTAAAACCTCTTTGTTTTTTAAAAAAAAGTTTTAGGTGCACACTTATCTAAATGAATTATGAGTTAGGAAGCCTAAAAATTGTTTATTCGCAAAAATTTTGGATCCAATATAGTTATTTTTGTTTCCAATTTTTGCATAAAATTTTCATATGATCTACCCTACAGCTATTTTATCACCCTAATCTACCCCAGCTATTTTATCAAAAAAGAATAGAATAAGTTTAATTCAGTCATAACGAAATACATTTTATGCAATCATTTCTGAAACTTAATCATTGACATAAATGACATTGTTAAAAGTATATACCGTAGAACGGGGTGACTTTGTTAGGATTTTGAGCATTTTTGCAAAATAAATCTGGTTCATTACAATTTTTTCTGATTTTTTTTTTCCCGTTATAACATTATACCTTTCCTTTATATAATTCCATTAAATATTTTTAATTTTTTTTTGTCTTAATATATATATTTTTAATCCAAAATGTTATCAATCTCACCCCGTCGTTTGGGGTGACTTTGATAGTCTATTATTTCTTAATGGCTTATTGATTTAACCCTCTTTACAGTGTCGCTAATACTTTCTTTTTGACTTTTACTAAATTAGAACACAACATATTAATAAACTTATAAGATTTACTGGTAAAATTATAAATTTAGACAACAAGTTTGGTTATCGAATATATCTACAGAATGGACAAAGAAAAAACAAAAATAAATTTGATGTTAATATGCTAAACACAGAAAAATAATATATCAATAACATTGTTATAGTAATTAGCAGTTATAAAATAACACTAACAAAAAAATAATACTAATTGCATATAAATATTAAGTACTGATTTACCCTGATTTACACTGATTTTTCTGCAAATGTGATTGAGAGTAACCAAAAACGAGTGGTATATTCCAGTGGTATTATAACTGGAAAATACCACTTGAACATCTAAGTATAGATTTTTAGAAAAAAAAAAATTCAAAAAAATTAAAATCACAAGATTTTTTGGCATTTTTTGGTACGTGTAAAAATCGTTATTTTTTTGTTTTAATCATGTTATTCCTAACACATTTGCACAATTTAGAATCACTTCACAATCATTAAAATTTCAAAAATATTAGCAGAATATAATTATGTACAAGAATAAAAAAAAAATAGTCTCTAATTGTGCAATTTCACACTCAAATCATTATTTTTGTAACTAACAGACGAAATTATCAAAGTCACCCCGCGTATCAAAGTCACCCCGTTCTACGGTACTTTGTTTGAAAAATATTTTTTATAAAAAATGGGTAATAAAGTAATTCGTTTTTATAAAAGTAACTGAACATGCTTGCAAAATTCACTGTGCAATACTTTTATGTGGTTTTTTTTTATCGTAAACACTACAGAGATAAGATCTCTAATTTATAGGCAATCACATTTGTAAAAAATTTGACTATTTTTTCATCTGCTTTTTTAGTCAGTTAATTTTTTTTGAGACAAAAAAATTAACTCACTTCATCTGAGTGAGTTTTTATGAAAAATTAGTATGAAAACGTAAAACCGTAACGTAACTTCATTTAATAAACAAAATCTCCAATAATATTATTTATACTAAATAGATTTACTTTTTGGTTTTCCATTCTGGTGATATAGATTTTTTCTTTATTGTATTTTAAAGACAAATATTTCAGTCATTTATTTGGGCAATGCTGCTGGATGAAGAATACCACCTTTTGTAATCGTGGACTGAAAATGGTCTCCATGGAACTAGGTACAATTGCACTGATCATGTATTATTAGATAGTATCAGATTTGAGAAATGTCTTTACAAACTGAAACAACAAATTGGAAAAAACTCAATTTTGGGATAGTTTATCATCACGCATCTGTCACAATGTTTTAAAACAGAATCAAGTAAATAACATTGTATTTGTGTGTTTAACATCTAACTCATTACTTTGTAAAGCTTCTAAGTTTTGTTTATTTTAGACCACTAAAATATTAATAAAAAACCGTTTTAAAGTAGTGGAAAAAATCACTTATATTTGAAAAATCAACACACTTCCAAAAGAGCAATTACAAAATCAAATTAAAAAAAATCCTGAAATAGATAATAGACACTTCTAGCATTTATTTAATATAAGGTTTTGCTAAGTGTGTAATTTTTTTTTTTTTTTGCAATAAAAAACCTCTTATTTTTTTCTAACATTACAGGATTGATCTTCTGTTGATTTAAATCTTATTTCTAAAGAAATTAACCGTCATTTGTTTAACAAGTGTCCATGCATTCGACCTTCAAAAATGAAGCGCAAAAAAATTTATCCACCTGAAAAAGGAATCTGAACTGAATCAAAAAAGTCTGTTATTATAATCGAAATGCCCTAAAAGTGCCGTAGCAACAAAAATAAAAAAATATTTGATATCACTTGTGCAACATCCTACAGTGATTACAAATATAAGCTGGGAGGCTTTAAAGTGGATGACAAAATAGATAAGGCAAGTGGATGAGGCATAGCGGAACAGTTAAAAAGCAGCAGGTATTCGTAAATTATAAAACTTTAAAATGATAAAAAATGAAGTCATTTTATCATTTTAAACATTTTTTGATATTGAAGTCTCAAAAATGTAATATATCCGTACAAACTACTTGCCTATTCATCTTTACACCGAAATCAAAAAAAGTAGCAACTAAAATAAATAAAAAATATTGTGATATATTATAACATACCCTTAAACAAACAAACTTTAAAAATTGTTCTATTATTTAAGTCTGGCAAAACCAGAATATATTATTAAATTGGTAGCTACTACTTAATTCAAAATTAAACAAAAATATTATGGGTCACATAAATCACATTAAAATATCCTGAAACTATTCGGCAGCATTATATGAGCTGGCTAATTAACAATATGCCAATGTAGAGCATATTTAAACATGCCATTTTTATCAGCAGCTTCTCAAATTCTAAGTTCTTTTTTATTCGTAGATAAAACTCCCTTCTCATTTTTTTCGTAGATAAAACTCCCTTCTCATTTTTTTATTTCAAATATATATTCTTACTTTCGCTGTACCAAAATGCCCTACTGTCCTGATATGCCCCGCTCTACCTTACTGCAGTAATATGTAATAATATAAGTAATAAATTAGGTAATACTTTCATACTAATTTTATTTATTATTAACTTTATTATTAACGTTTATAATAACTTAAGTATTATATAATAAAGATTAAAAAGATTTTACTAATGCAGTGTTACGAAGTTAAAAGATATTAAATGGAAATCAATTGTAACTTGTTTAACTTTTTTTGACGGCAACGTAGTTTTTTTTAAACTTTTTTTAGAGCTAATTCTCTTCAAAAAGTTTTTTAAAAAAAAAGAAAACAAAGTTAGTTAACGTTTCGTGCTTTTATTGATAAACAGTAATTTCTTTTTTTTTTTTTTTTTTTTTTTTGTCATATTAAGTGTTAAGGCTAACAAAAGGAAAAAAAAAGTGTTTATTGTTTGTTTTTTATTTAATAATAATAATAATAATAATAAAAATAAAAATAATAACAATAATAAGTCTCTTAATCAAAAGAAGCCATGCAAATTTCATAAATTAAATTAATATTTTGCATTATGCTGAGAAAGTGTTTGCTTTAAGCGTACTTAATTAAAATAAATATTTTTCATGCAAAGAGCAAGATAAGAATTTTTTTTTTTATATCCAATTTATAAATGTATAAATTAGTAAATCAGTTTTTTATAAAAAGATGATTTATTGATTGCACTTAATAATAGTGTTTTTCTATTGTATTGAAACTTAATTCATAATTAAAAAAATAGAAGAAAAAATATAGATAATAAAGAGCTCTGTATTAGCTGTCTAAAACAGTTACTTTTTTTAAAATCAAATTTTTCTAAAACTTAAAAAAGTAGACATTTAACTTATAATATTCTGACTTTATAGTCATGGTGTTTAAGACCATAATAGTCATTTGGCAGTTTTTAACTTTAAAAAAAAACATCAATACCTTAAAACGGGAGGCTTTTAATAGACTATAGAAATATAACATGTTTGGGTTTTAAAAAAACGATTAGTTTAATTTAAAAGCAAAATAATTTGATGGTAAAACATTAATAAAAACATGTTTTTAAATGTTGCAACTTTTTAGGTTTAGATAGACAGTTAACAATAAAAAAAAAGTTGGATTAAAAAACATTATCTTGTTAACTTTAAAACTTTAACTAAATGAAGAAAAAATAAACCAGTGGATTGTTTTAGTTTTGAAAACCTTTACTTATTTTTAATGCGCATTTCTTTGTATTTCTACAAAATTGCATTTTTAAAACCGTTTAATTAAGTTGAATTTTTAAACTTGTTTTTTAAATAAGATAGGAATTAGTTGAACTTTGGTTATTTTGTTTTTGAGTTAGCTTCTAATTTTTTAAAACTATGTCTGGAGTACAAAGTTATGAGTACTTGAAGTAGCCTATTACCAATGATTGCTTGCACATACTTAAAAAAACTTTTGCATACATTAACATTAAACAATGTTTAAAAGTTAAAAAAGACAAAATAAACCAAAGTGTGAAATAGATCTTTTAAGCGATTGTTTTTGTGATACTGAAAAAATATAGTCGAGGTAGTCAAGTCGTCAGAATTTTTGTTAAAGTTAAGTTAGTTTAGAAAAAGGAGTAATATAAAAAAAAAAAAAATTTTTTTTCAGTTTACTCTTATTAGACAATAGTTGAACTTTCACTATTTTTTGTAGCCATTACAACGAGTATTTCTTTCTAATTGTGATATATAAAAAAAAATAATCATTGCTACATATTGTTTAAATCATTATACAACCTTTCTTAATGTTTACTTGTGCAATTATGTTTTCATTATATACTTTATCAATAAAGTTGTTGCACAAGTTATGCAGAACTTGTTTGATTGTTGTTACTTATTCACTTACTGTTGTCAAATTTAAGGTGTCTTTTTTATTTTTATATACAGTTTTCTTGTTAATTTTAGTCCAATCAACTAAGCCTTCCACTGGTAAGTTTGTATATTGCAATTTCGGTCATGTTTATATAAGTAGAAATTTAAAGAATGTATGCTTTGGTTTAATTCATGTGTTTTTTTATCTCAAGTCATTTCTTAAACAAATGTGATTAGTAAATTTAAAAGCTATTATTTTTTAACTTGTGAAAGATTTATTTCCAATATCTTTTTTTTTTGTGGATAACATCCCTTTTGTTTTTAGTTCCATCTACATCTGAAACAGTTGGTAAGTTTAAGAGTCAATTCTTTTTCAGCAGTGTATTGATTTTATCCCATTTTTAACTTTTTTTGTTTATTTTTATATTGCATCTTTTCGTGATATTAGTTGAATCTACATTCTTCTTTTTTTCTATTAATTACACCTTTTTTACATTAATCTTTATCGACACCTGCTGCGGATGTCGATATCATTTCTTTTGTTATGGCTGTACTATAGATTTAATATCAAATTCAATTTTCTTATTGATTACAGCTTTTTTTTACTTTTAGTTTCATCAACATCTACCACATTCGGAAAGTTTAAAAGCTATTTTTTTGTTCATTTTGTATGTAATATGTGTATAAAAGGCCAATTTCTAATACTTTTTTTCTTGGTTACACTTTTTTTTAATCTATATCTATATCACAAATAGTAAGTTTAAAAACTAATTATTTTTCAGCAGTGTTTTGATTTTTCTAAAAAAGTCATTTATTTTTTTTGATTTTTAGCTGCATCTACGTATGCTTTGATTAATATGTTAATTAAAATATTTCTTTGTTAGCAGAGGTCTATCTCATTAAAATTATACTATAGATTTAATCCCAATTTCATTTTATTTTTGTTGTTTACATCATTTTTTAACTTTTAGTTCCTGCAGCACAATCTTCTCCAGCTTAATGTATAAATTGAAATATTTCTTTATGATTGTTCTTCGTTTTTGAAAAACTTTAATGCTTACTTATATTTTATAAAAGTATTTTATTTTAAATTACTTCTAAATAAAAGTTTTTAATTTTTTTTTGTAAAGGTTTATATAAAATGTTTCATAATGCTTTCAAATCTTAACTATCAGTGAAAAGTAACTATAATAAGTTTTGTTAAAAGTAACTATAATAACTTTTGACAAGCACTATGATAAGTAGGAAAATGATAACGTGTTATCAAATCTTTAATATTGTTAAAAAAAACTTAAATAATTTAAGTTTTAATAAAAAAAAAAAGATGAATTTATACAAACACTTATCTGCAAAATAACTTTAAGATTTAGATGATGTGATGTCTGAAAGAATTGTTGGCAGAAAACTCTGTCATGAATGGTATGATATTGACTCATCAAAGTCTATCATTTATGATGGTAAACTAGAAAAAGTAAGCAAAAGACAAAATGATAGAATTTACACTATTTCTTACTGAAAACAAGATAAAACTGATATTAAAGCTGTTGAACATAAGATGAAAAAAATCAAGGTTTGTGGATTGCAAATAGATACAGCAAGTTTTGTGGTTTGCAATCAAGAACAACAAGTTTTGTGGCTTGCCATTAGGTAAAACAAGTTTTGTGGCTTGCAATTAGGTACACCATGTTTTGTGGCTTGTAAATAGGTACAGCAAGTTTTATGGCTTGCTAATGGGTAGCAAGTTTTGTGGCTTGCAAATAAGTACAGCAAGATTTGTGGCTTGCAAACAAGTACCGCAAGTTTTGTGTCTTGCAAACAGGTACAACAAGTTTTGTGGCTTGCAAATTTTTTTGATAGATGGCTCTGGCTTACCTTTACATTGTGTCTATCATTAAAAATGATTTATTTATTTCATGAGTGGAATTCAAAACATAAATCATTTACTAAAAGCCAAGACAATAGTTAATTACTTTTTTTATTTCAAAAGACCTGCTGCTTTGTGTTTTTTTTTTAGGTTGGATTTCAACAACAAACTTGCTTTACCTAATGGCAAGCCACAAAACTTGTTGTACTTGTTTGTAAGCCACAAAACCCGCTGTATCTATTTTCAGTCTTGTAACATGGTTAAACCATAGTCATAATAACATTATGACTATGACTATTATTATGACTATGGTTAAACAGTTTTTTAAACTATTTATATGTGTTTAAAAAAGCATTTTTAAACTTTTTTTGTTAAATTCTAATTAAATTTTTTTAGGTACGGGGCGGAAGGGGGGCAGCTTACACCCCCTTTCATGAAGACAATTTATACATCACTGTAACGTGGTTAAATAGTTTTTTATACTATTTTATATGTGTTTAAAAAGCATTTTTAAACATATTTTGTTAAATTCTAACTAAAACTTTTTTTAGAAATTGGGCGAAAGAAGGGCGGCTTACACCCCTTCCATGAAGGCAATTTATACACCACTATTTACTATTTTTCCAAGTATCAAAATATATTTTTTATTTTTTTTACTAAAACTAATTGTTTTAGTAAAGATTAAAATATTTAAAAGAATGAAATTTTGATAGGTTGTGTTAAACCTTATTTAAAACCCAACACCCGACTTTGAGATAGACTTGTAATATTTGCTAGTGATGTGGAATAAAATAATAACAATTTTTTGTATACAAATTTTTGTAATTTTAAAAGATAAACACTTTTTTATGAAAAAAAGTGTATTTTTATAAGGTAAAGGTGGTGGATTAGCACCCCCTCCGGATTCCTGGATGCGCCCTTGACCTAAAATCTAGTTAAAAATTATAGCCCTTTTTTACACCTATCTTTTGATACCAAGTTATAAATATTTGAATAAGAATTAGCAAAGCTATAACAATTTATGTGAAAAAAAATTTTTTTTGACCACATTTTTATCAAGAAATCCATATCTAAAATTTGCTATTTAAAACGTCATAACTTTTGATAGAATTGTCTGATTTTCATAATTTTTTCACCTTTGAAATACTGTATTTGAGGGCTTTTTAATGATATATAACATTCTAGTATTTGATCAATTTAAAAAAATCAGTCCACGTACCTAATATTATATATATATATATATATATATATATATATATATATATATATATATATATATATATATATATATATATATATATATATATATATATATATATGCATAATTACATATGCATATATATTTATAAATTGTATAATGCATATATATTTTTATATACTACATAATACTTACATATGTGTGTGTGTGTAAACACACACACACACTTTATTAGATCTGTACTTTATACACATTTGAGAGCATTAAGAACTGCATTTGTAAAACACAAATTGCTATTTACACACACACACACACACACACACACACACACACACACACATACACACACACATAGTTTTACAAAAAAAAAATTAATTTCTTTTTTAAGAAAATAGTAAAAAGCATTTATGCAGTTTTGTATTTGATTTGTAATTTTACCTTCTGTAGGTGAAACTACTTGAATATAATAAATTGATAAGTGGTTTTTCCTTTATATATATATATATATATATATATATATATATATATATATATATATATATATATATATATATATATATATATATATATATATATATATATATATATATATATATATATATATATATATATATATATATATATATATATATATATATATATAAATTAATTATGTAAATGGCAAAGCCAAAAAAGACTAAAAAGTTTCAACATGTCCAGAGGATTTGTTTTAAATTGTATTGGACCAATGCTAGTTATCAGTAGTAGGCATATAAATTTGTTATTTTAAATTCCTTTTTATTTTAGATGCCACGAAATTATAATAGAAAAACTGAAATAAAATATAGGCTAGAGGATTTTAAAAAGGCCATAAAAGACGTCAGAAATAATACTTTTTCATTAAGTCATACCTCTTCAGCTTATTCGGCGCCTAAAACCACCTTATATGACTACTGCAAGAAAGAATTCATAACACACCCAAAAAGCGGAACAAAATGTATATTCTCAGATGCACAAGAAAAAGAGTTAAAAGAATATATTGTCAATTGTAGCCAGGTTTTTTATGGGTTAACAATTGAAATGGTGCGAAAAATTGCTTTCAAATTTGCTGAACAAAATAAGCTGAACCATAAATTTAATAGGACAACCCAATTGGCAGGGAAAGACTGGTATTATTCTTTCATAAAAAAACATTCAAATATTTCATTGAGAAAACCTGAGCCCACTTCGTTAAAGAGAATAAATGGATTTAATGCAACAGAAGTAAAAATGTTTTTTGAAAATCTGGAAACTTTACAAAGAGCTTATCACTTTTACCCTAATCATATATATAATGTTGATGAGACCAGTATTTCTTATGTTCAACGAAATTCCAAAACCTTAGCCCCTAAGGGCTAGAAACAAGTTGGTATGGCAACCAGTGGGGAAAGGGGTTCAACAATTACAGTTGTTTGTGCATTCAGTGCATCAGGAAAGTATATTTCTCCATATTTTGTATTTGAAAGAAAACGCATAAATAATCAGTTGTTGCGGGGAGGCAATGCTGATATGCTTGCCAAGGTCAGTGACTCAGGTTGGATCAATGAGCATTTATTTGTGGACTGGCTTAATCACTTTATCTCATTTGCTAAACCAACCAAAGACGAACCTGTGTTATTAGTCCTAGATAACCATGAGAGCCATATTAGCCTTGATTGCTATTTACTCTGTGGTGGAAATGGAATTGTATTGTTATTCCTTCCACCACACACTTCCCATAGAATGCAACCATTAGATTTAACATACTTTGGTCCACTTAAGTCTGCATACAACAGAGAATGTGACATTTTTATAGCAGCAAACATAGGCCGAAGAATTACTCAATATGAAGTTGTCGAACTATTTACTAAAGCTTTTAATCGTCTCAGCAATATTGAAAAAGCAGCCAATGGATTTCGAGCAGCTGGTTTTTATTCGTTAGATCCCACAAAATTCAATGATTTATTTCCAATCACTATCATTACACCTGAAATGTCATTACTTGATAACATTCAGAGTTCAAAATTCCAGGTAAACACAATGAATCAATCAGATACTCAAGCCAAATCATCTGAAGTGTTAGTTAATCTGTCATTGAATCCTTCAAGTGTAGGTCTGTCACCTGATGTGAATGTAGCTTCTGAACTGGTCTCAATTAGATCAAATCAGCTTATATTTCTTTTAAATATTGTTTCTGTACCTAATTTGCTAAAAAGGAAAACCAGAGAAAATCTAAGAAAGAAACATTCGACTATTATCACTAGTTCTCCAATGAAAGATTTTTTAAAGGACATGCAGCAAAAGAAAAGTATAAAGGAACAAAAAGTAAAAAAGGCTGCTGGTAAAAAAAGGAAGGAAGGGAGCAGCTTTAACAAGTTTGAAGCTAATAATGTACCAAAGAAAAAGAAAATAACCAGAGACAATAAAGAAAATGATTACTATTGTTTAATTTGTGAAGAGAAGTATCATGATCCACCCACTGAAGACTGGGTTATGTGTTACATATGTAAATCCTGGTCCCACGAGAAGTGCACAAGTTCCTCAAGCACATCCAGAGGTTTTCTCTGTGATTTTTGCAAGTAATTAATGGGAGTAACATTTTTTTTTCTTTGAATAACATTTATTGATGTTTGATTCTTTGGCGTTGATTTGTTTAAAATTCGATTCATTTATATTTCAGCGCTTCAATTAAGTTTGATTTGCTTTGAGAAAATTTGAGTGTATTTGCTATTACCCAACAGTGTTTGTGAATACCCCACTGTATGTTCGGAATTACCCCACTTACGTAGTGTAATTCCGAGCACCAATGGTTTTGTTTTTGAACGAATTTTTTATTTTATAATAATATATATGAAAATTGCTTATGAGTGTTTCTAGACGAATGGTTAGACTAAATAGTAAGCAATAAATATCATCAATATATTGTAATAGTTGTCTTTTATTCTCATTCCCGCTTAGCTGTTCGCCAATACTCGACTCTCCCCTACCCATACAAAAAACAGTTTGCATCGAAATAAAAAAATCTAAAAACCCAGTATTAATGAATTAATTCCTAATGTTTTTGAACGAACATGAACAAAGGAACTGTAACACCGTTCATTTAACAATTTTGAATGTTAATTTTATACAAGAAAAAGATTGTTAAGAATATTAGGTTAAACATTCATATGTTTTTTACAATTAGGATTTATTGAAAGCGATAAATAAGAATTAATAAGTGATGAATAGACTTTGTGCCTAAAAAATCTTTTCGAATATTGACTCAAATTTATTTCTAACATGTTTTGTTTTTTTTAATTATATTGTTACAACCCAACTCTTTAACCCCGAAGCACTTTTCAACTTTGACAAACAAGGCCGCTGCGCGCAGAAACTGGTTGATATACATAAAGCATGTAATATATTTTATATCTTATCTTCTTTATAAACTGAAAAAAAGTTAATAACTTTCGAATTTAACTGAAAGTTAAATGAAATTATGAAATTGTTACCGAATTTAACTTAGTGCCGAAATTCTATTTCAACTTCGGCACCAAAGTCAAAGCCGAAGTAAACTTCGCCTTTCAGTAAACTTCGTAACCCGAATTTTAACGAATATTCGCATTAGCAACATTTGCAAATGAAGACTTTACGGGAAGAAACGGCAGGGTCACATTTTTTCATTTTGCGATAAATCATTTTTAAACTTTTAAACCTATATAACTTTTTTATTTTTAGGGGAAGGATTAAAATTTTTAAGATATATTACAAAAGGAACTAATTTTTTATGCAATTAAAGTTGTATTTATAATTTAAATATAATAATTTACGTTATAGGTTTTCTTTTTTAATTGAGGCTTTTTATGGACTCTGCCGTTTTTTCCCCGGTAAAATATCTTTTTTTATTTTATTAGTTTTTCGATCAATTAAAAACATAAAATGTTAATTATTTTTTTATTAGCTTATAAATAAAATTAGGCAGAAGCTAATTTTACCAAACAACCTCACCACCAAGACCTAATATTGACCCTTAAAAAGTCTAGGAGATCGAATTAAAATTAAAAATACTGTTTAGTGTTGATATTTTCGTTTAGAAAATAAAAATAGTTCTCGTTAACCAAAGGCTTCAATTTTTGTTCTTATGTCGTCCATGAAAATATCACATACAGTCAACTCTCGATATCTTGAATACTTGGTATCTCGAACTTTTTTGAATCCAGTCGAACCCTTATTTATGGATTATACTCTAGAAACTCGAACATTCTCTATCTTGAACTAATTAATCGGTCCTTTAGAGGTTCTCGTTAACGAAAGGCTTTAATTATGAATCTTTCATTCAAAAATATCGCTGTTGATGACAAAGTTCAATTTGTTTTTAATTTAAAGGTTAACCTATTAAATACCTATATAACTATACCTATACAGGTGTCACAAAACTGTAAGCACAAAAAGTTATTTAATGCAAAGTTTCTTTCCTGATAATAAAGTGGCTTTAAAATTTTATAGGTTTAAAAACAATTTAGTATTTATTTGATCTGAATTTTTATTTTCATACCCTGACTAATAATTAAAAGATATATTCAATATCTTGTGATTATTAATTATATAAATTGTTGTATATGAAGTGAAGCAAAGAATAAACATATTAAAGATTTTTATACTTAAATAAAATTTAATTAAAAAAAATTTAAATAAAAAAAAATGTCTATTTGCTCTTCATCTTCAGAATCAATAATTTCATGAAATGTCTCAATAACCTCCTGATTGTATGGCAAAGAACCGTAAACCTGAGCATTGGATGTAAACCTTTTAATACTTGTAAATCTCTGTACTTTGCTAAACAGATACAAAGTTTTGCATTATACAGAATGGGGATTTCACTATTTATAGTGTTCTTCCTATTAATTTTTAAATTAGTTTTCAACAATAATCCATTCCACGAATCACGATGAAATACAATGCCACTTAAGTCTCCTCTGAAACAAAATTCACAAAGAGGACAAGTTGGAATTGGACATTTATTCTTATAAAATGGTCTCATAAAATCAGTTATACTTTTAACCATACTTTGCGTTAATTCTATAACATGAAACAGAGTGGGTTTTTTACGAGCATTTTTGAATGTTTTAATCCAATCTGATGCATCACTAGTGGGTGTTTTGCAATTAATTAATCCCATATCTTTATCACATTCCATAACAGAATGACCACGATCTGGAGATGTAACTTTAATAAAGTCAAACCTTTTTTTTTCATGAACAAGAAAATCCATAAAACGAAATAATGTATAGTTTTTGTTTTAGCCAACACATGAATCACAAAATAGCTATACAGATCAAATTTATTTGTCTAAATGTTTTATAAAAAAATCATCGAAGTTACTTCATCAGCCTCTTTTTTAGCTATAGTTTCATCATAACAATACAAATAAACTTCATTGCTTGAAAGTACGTGAATATTAAATGAATAAAATGCTAATTTTTGTTTGTAGTAAAAGTCGTTGATTGATTAATTTGGTAAGTTAAGCTTTTTTTTGAAATCAAAAGCAATTGCCTCAAATTTGTACTCCCTTTGTGCTTTAAACCAAGCATTTCTTTTCCTAAGATAAAATATTTCTGCATCTTTGTGGTGCTGTTCTTTCTGTAACTCAAGCTCATGCAATTGTTGTTCAGACTTTGTAAATTCCGAATTAAAAGATAGTTCAATTTTTATTGCATCAAATTTAATTTTAAGCTCATCGCATTTAGAACGTTTTAGTCCTTGGGTACCCAAAAGAAATGTTAAAACTTTTGTTAAATTGCGATATTTTTTGTTAAAATTGTTAAAATGCGATAAGATTCATATGACAATTTATCATTTCCATGCTTGATTTTAAACAAGTCATACATCTTGGTTATAATTAATAGATCTTGGTATCTACCTCTGAAAGAAGAAATATGATCACATATTTTATTTTTTAGTTAAGGAGTAAAATTGTTATACTGATTCTTGTGTTTACCTCTTCTATCACGGGGAGAGTGACCTATAATGAGAAAAAATAATTTTTATATACAAGAAAACTTCCATTAAAAATAAGCATTCTATATTCAATAAAAATATATAAATTACCTTTAGTTAAAAGGCTTCTTTTAATGGTCTCTAATCTTCCATTCTTTATGCCAAAGATTGAAATTAACGCAGAAAAGCAAACATAAATAAACGAACTCGTGAGTATCTCGTGATTTGTAATTAAAAATTTATATTTGTAACTGCTATTATAATCTTTTAAATTAATGTTTCGTGGTCTTCTTTTTGAAACGTTATTTAAAGTTATTAAACTTGCAAGATACGAATCTTGAGCATCCTTGCTGGATAGAGAGTTAAAATATCTTATTAACATTTTTTTTTCTTCTTCTATAAGCATTTAAGTTACATTCAAGCCCTGTTTTATGCGATGCTAATCTTTGTTTCTTTATACTTTTACGCAATCTTTCCTTACTCTTTCTTTTCTTAGATTTTTTTTAGCATTTTTAATGGTATTTCAAGTGTCGCCATTTTTATTATTTAATTTACATTAACCAAATTACCTATGATTATTTTGAAAAAAAAAGACTTATAGCTGTAAGTTATTCAAAAAATAAAAATGGTAAACGTGGTTTATGTCTATTAGTAAGTTGCAAATATTATTTTAACTCATTAACACTTGTCTTTTCGGGGAGGTATGTATTGTATAATTAAAAAAAGTGATTAAGTTCCATCAAACTATAAAAGTACATCCAATTGTTTTTTTGATTTGAATTCAGATAAAATGTATAATAATATTGTTTATAAAGTTAAAAAGTGTAAAATGTCAAAATATTCAAAATGTGACCCTGCCGTTTCTTCCTGTGGAGTCTTCAAATGTATTGAGATTTTGAGCGGAAAATACTCAGTAATAATATATTTTGCATAATTTTACATTTAAAATTAATTTTATTGTAAAATATAGGTATTTTAGTTTAATAAAAAATCCGCAATTTTTAACCAAAAATTTTTTCTACCTATACTATTTATTTATCTATAAAATTTTTTATGTTACAAATTTTAAAATACCTGTCAAATTTCATCATCGCATGTTGTTTACATTTATAACTTTAAGTAAGAGGATCACAAATTATAGAGTTATTGCGGGATGCGGATGCATATTGCTTTGTAAAACAATAAGTGTAATTCTCCCCTACACTCGATTCGTTTCTTTGCTCTCTCCTCTAATTCGCAATAACGTTTCTCTTTTCTTTTTATAACTTCTTTTATTTTTGTTGAGTCTTTTATATCAATCAATCAATATATATTTCGTCAATGAACAAAAAAGAAAAGAAAATTTTACAATGTACTTGCAAAATAAAAATAAAATAAAATATATTTTTTAAATTCTGACAGGAGCAAGCAGAAGACAATACATCTTATCATCTTGCCCCTTTGATAGTAAAATAGTTAACTTTATTTACATGATTAAGTTCGTAAAATCTATAATTATTAAATTAGTTTATTATAAAATTACATACTTTTGAGTTAAACATACATATTCGTATTAGTAAATACATAAAAATACGACTTAAAAATACAAAAAAATATTTTTGTTGGTTAGATTTAATCAAATGTTGTTTCACAGTTTTTTTTAAATGCTTTAATTGAGGCTATAGATTTTATGTCATTATTCAGGATTGAGCTCCACAGACGTAGACCCCGACAAGTAATAGAGTAGTCCGATTTTTTAAGAGTTGTTGATGGTATGTAAAAATTGTCAATAGAATATCTTGTTAAGTATCTGTGATTAACTAAAGAGAAATGTGGCTGAAAATATGATGGAAGCATGTTATTGTGAAGTATAAACATAAACAATAAATTTTGATAAATGTTTAGTTCGAAACATTCAGAGCTTTAATTTCTTTTAGTAAAGGCTTGGCGTGTGCATATTTGTCTGCATTAAAAATTAACCGAGTCGCTTGTTTTTGTTTGCTATAAATTTTTTTTAATAAAGACGAGTGATTACTTGCCCAAGCTATATTACAATAACTAATATAGCTATGTATAAATGAAAAATATAAATTTTTGAGGCATATATTATTCAAAAGGTGTCTCATTTTGAACATGATCCCCAAGGTTAAAGAGATTTTGTTTTCTAATAATTTAATATGATTTTTCTAATTTAAATGTTCATCAAATAATATACCTAAAATTTTCATTGAATGAACATTTTTTATTTTAATGTTGTTTATAAATAAATCTGGAAGTTTAAGGGGTAAGTTATCAGTTTTTGAGAGTTTTGTGAACAAAATGTATTTCGTTTTATCATTATTTAAAGAGAGTCTATTAGCTTTAAACCAGTCGTTGAGATTTACTAGTTCAGTGTTAACAGTAGAAAAAATGTGCTTTAAATTATTACCAGAAAAGAAAATATTGGTATCATCCGCAAAAAGAATGAAATTTAGTAACTCGGAGGATAAATGGATATCATTTACGTATATGAGAAATAGCAGAGGACCAAGAATTGAGCCTTGGGGGACACCATAACTAATACTTTTTAATTGTGTACTTGTTAAGTCATACGTATTACATTGTTTACGATTCTGAAGATAAGACTGAAGCCATTTTAAATTCTGATTCAAAATTCCGTAGTTTTGCAATTTATATAGAAGGATTTCATTATCTACAGTGTCAAAGGCCTTCGATAGATCTACAAAAACTCCCAGTGTATAGTTGTTGTCATCAAAGCCTTTCAAAATAGTGTTATTTAAATCAACTATCGCATGCTCAGGGCAATGGTTTTTTCTAAATCCAAATTGTTTATGGTATAAAATATTATTTTTTTCAAGATAATTGTATAATCTATTGTACATTACACGCTCAAGAAGCTTTGAAAAACAGGAAAGTATTAAGATAGGATATCAACACCACAAATATGGTAATGTGCGAAACTACCAACTTTATCTCTCTGTTACTTGATAAAGCTAAGCTCTAATACAGGAATTTTATTTTCTCGTACACAAGCATTTTACATGCACTTGGTATTTTACATTAATAGTTAAAAACATACTTTGAACAAAACATTATTTCACATTTGCAAAATGAATTATCAACGAGTTTGTCAATTTTCAAAATGAACTTCTCCTTTATTAATTTTTTTTAACATTTCCAAGGCTGATTTTAACTTCAGTTTCCTTAAGATCCTTAAGTTTAGCTTTAATGCTGAATTCTTAAATTGTTACTGGATGTATAAACTTGTAATTAGCTTTTTCCAACTGAGAAGATAAAGCTGGAGTCATATCAGTAACTAGTTTATCAACAGTATAGTTTCTTTCATTTTGATTGCTTGTTTCTCTCAAAAAATCCCATATCGTAAAATATCCGTTGCAGTAGGGAGCTCAGATGGCAATAGTTGTTTTCCTCTACCAATAAATTTACTTAAGTGAGTAGCTGATATATTTCATGTTTTTTTTTTTTTTTTTTTGGTGCCATTAAAGTTAATTTTAATTAAATACTGATTAAATGTAATTTATAAGATGTTATACTCTGATGAATGTATTTTTACTATTTTTAATTAAAGGCAAATTTTAAAACTAATCTAAAAACTAAATCCTAATAGATCCGAAATAAATTTCATCCACTTAAGTTTCTTTTAAAACGGAAATGCAAAATACGTCATTGTTTTAATTATTTTTAAAACGTAAACAAATTAAAACATAAAAAATGTTGTAAATCTTTTAAAAAATTTTTTTAAGTATCACTTTATTTCGTATATAAAATGATACCATTATTTCACAATATAATTTATTTTTTTCAAAAACTTCGAAACCCGTGTCGTCGACCCTGTAAAATTTTAGATATAGGCTTTCAAACTTGTGTAACAGAAACTTCAAAAGGTCCGCGTGTCAATGAAGCAACAATTATTGATCCATATTTTATGCGAACAATTTGTATAGCACGGAGAAGAGTGTGCTCAATCTCTTTGGGATTTGGGTTTTTTTTTCGAGGAGGTCTTTATCAAAATAAATAAAACATTATTGTAAAAGTGGGAGGAGTCATACTCCGCACTTGCGAACTGAAAAATTTAAGCTTTAAAAGTCGCTGCTTTCTTATATTGCAAATTCTATAGTATTTGTTATTTATTTCATTGCAGTTTTTACTTTTAATTGAACTACATTGTTTAGCAAAAATATTTATGTTTTAAACTTAACACAATTAAGCTTATTTTATTATATTATGGCTGAAACCGAAGCACATTTAAATACTGAAAACAAAAAGTCTAGATTAGTTTTTTCAAACATAAAAATAGACACATCGTATTTCAGTGAGTGGATAGGTCGAATTAAATTATTGCAACTTGTTTTAGTTACTTTATCAGGATGCTTAACACCTGCTGTTGTGGGGTTTTTTTTTACACGTTTCACCTTTTTTATATTTATAACATGGACAACGTTTATGTATGTTTGTTTGGACATTATATTGCATATGCTGATGTTCTGGCAAAAGTTGCCAAAAAATTTTCCAATGTCTCAAGTTCTTATGATACTTGATTTAGTTGCTGCAATTCTATGGATGATAACAAGCAGCCTAATTGCATCTGTGTCAAATTTTCTTCCAGGTAATGGGCATGTTTTATCTGCATTGTCATGCACTTTTGGATTTTTTACAATGGTAACATTTTTTGTTGAAGCATATCTCAGATTGTATGCTGAAAAATATAAAAAACGAGACTCAGCAATAGCTGTTCCTCGTAATTCGTTTTCCTCTGATGAACGTGAAGCAGATACGGGTTCTATTAGCGGAAGACTTGAGTAATAAATATTTTTTTTTAAAAAAAGGGACTTCTTTTAAATTTTATGTTAAAATTTCCTTTATTATATTAAATTATATATTTTTTTATAAAGTATCACACCTAACTATTAAGTGTGATTAATTTAATAGGGTAATCATTAAGCATGATTAAGTTAATGGGATATCTTCTTTAATACAAGTTGAAATGAGGGCTACATCCATTTAAGACATCACTGCATGCATATATATATATATATATATATATATATATATATATATATATATATATATATATATATATATATATATACATATATGTGTATGTGTGTGTGTATATATATATATATATATATATATATATATATATATATATATATATATATATATATATATATATATATATATATGTGTGTGTGTGTGTGTGTGTGTGTATATATATATATATTTATATATATATATATATATATATTTATATATATATATATATATATATATATATATTTATATATATATATATATATATATATATATACATGTATATATATATATATATATAATATATATATATATATATATATATATATATATATATATATATATATATATATATATATATATATGTACATATATATATATATATATATATATATATATATATATATATATATATATATATATATATATATATATATATATACATATACATATACATATATATACATATATATGTATATATATACATATATATATATATATATATATATATATATATATATATATATATATATATATATATATATATATATATATATATATATAAGTTATAATATTGGGTTTTGATTATTTAGATTCTCTTTTTTATTTAACTACATGATTTGAATGCATATATGTTTTTACATTAAATTTTTTGCTGCGCCTTCTTGTATCATAATAGATAATAGTGTAGAATAGATAAACTAGTTTATCTATTCTACACTATTACATACATACTTAATATGTCTGTATTTTTGTATGTATGTATGTATTTATGCATATATACATATTCATGCATGTGTGTGTTTTTGTGTGTATTTTTGTGTTTTTATTTATTTGCGAATTGTTTTTTTATTTTTTTTTTTACTTTTGATGTTGTGTTAAATTGAATTTGTGGTAAAATTTTGAGTTGATGTTTTCTAAATTAAAATTGTTGTAAATTTTTCTTTGTTGATGTTTTCTAAAATTAAAAGTTAATTTTTATAAATTGTATTCTTTATATTGGTCAATAAATTACCTCTTATAAAAAATAATGAACTTTTTATTATTATTTTCTTGAAAAATTGCCGAATTTCTGTTAACAACTCAATTGCTGAGTTCCTAAAATGTAAAGTAATGTAAAATGTTTTTTTTAAATAATACTTAAAAATTAAAAATAAATATTAACGAGTTCTAAAAGATTTCTGATTTTGATCACATATGATCTCCTTGTTTTATTTTTAAAATTGTTCTTAGCAAATTTTGATGATATCACATATGATTTCCTTGTTTTATATTTAAAATTGCTCACAGCAAATTTTGATGATATCACATATGATCTACTTGTTTTATTTTTAAAATTGTTCACAGCAAATTTTGATGATATCACATATGATCTAATTGTTTTACTTTTAAAATTGTTCACAGCAAATTTTGATGATATCACGTATGATCTCCTTGTTCTATTTTTAAAATTGTTCGCAGCAAATTTTGATGATATCACATATGATCTCCTTGTTACATGATATCACATATGATCTCCTTGTTTTATTTTTTAAATTGTTTACAGCAAATTTTGATGATATCACATATGATCTCCTTGTTTTATTTTTAAAATTGTTCACAGCAAAATTAAATCCAGGATCAACGATTGAAAAGGTGAAAAGAAGAACATTACAAGTCCAATATTTTCATTTCAAGATTATCAATAGTTTAAGTATTGTTCTTTGACTAGTTTAAATCTACTTTATGGCAAAAAATAATGAAAGAAAGATGGACTAATATTATTTTTGTATTACATAGAAAAATCAGCATAAGTTAAATGAAATTATGAAAAAAAGTGCAAATAACAAAATTGGACTAGTAATGTTCTTCTTTTCACCTTTTTAAGTTCTTAAGTTCTTTTTCATTTAAAGCTGATATATTTTTGACTCATTTTAATAATTCAAATACCACATATGAGTGGTTACCAGTCTTTACATATGCATTAATTTTTGAATATAAACGTGTATAATTCCTGGAAATCCTGGAACTTCTTTCTAAAATACTTTAATATTTCGTTAACCTCTTTTTTTTTTTTTTTTATCTTTTACATTTACTTAGTTATAATTAGTTTTTCGTAGATTTATTCTGAATTTGATAGTATGTATTTGTAATGCTAAAAAAAAAAAAAAATTGTTTGTTACTTTCAATTTTATCAACATCTACTAGTTATTAGTTTTTTTTTATTTTCATACTTTTTCATAAACCAACATATTTTGTTTGTTTTTTTCTGGTCGAGAAAAGATCAATATATCCTTAAAAAACCCAAAATTTTCCTTAAAAAAAGTCCTGTAAATATACTGAAATTTTGAATTAGCTATTGGCTGGTCAAGTATTAACTGCAAATACAATTCTGCGATTATTTTACTACAAATTTTTTATTAAGGTATTTTTGTTTTTTTTTCCTGACATTTTTTTTTTCTCAGTTTCCCAGGCACAGAGTCACACCGCCTGGGACAGCAATCCTGATTGGCGCCCTTATTTATCAAATTTTCCCTATATAAGAGTATATAAGAACCTTTACAATATCCCTATATAAGAAACTTTTTTTTTTTTAAGTACCTACATTTAATTTGGCGCCCCTTGGATATCTGCCGCCCGGGACAAACTGTCCCAGTGGCTCCGCTCTCGGCGGCCCTGCCCAGGCAAGTTAGTTAAATAAGTAATTATGTAAAAAATAGTTATTCTTTAAAATATTTTTTTTATTTTAAGTAATTTCCTAATGATGATTATATCTTCATAAATAAAAGTGGGAATATATAATAAATAAATCTAAACCTATGAACAATATATCTAGGGTCTTAAGGTGGGTTTTAAAATTTTTTCTCCTGCTTCTCTGCCTATTTTCCTAAACCCTATACTTTGCACATTTTTTTTTTAATTTTAAAAAACGGACAACCCCAATTCAAGTTATTAAACTTTAGAGCGTCGCACAGTGGAGAATAGTACTACAAAATCGTACGATAAATGTTTTTTGTTCAAATTTCAATTTCACTACTGAAATTTTAAATATATATTTTTTTAATAGTTTAATCTTTAAAAAACAATCTTTACTATAATTTTACCTAATTTTGCATAAAAAAATCATATTTGAAGCCCTACAGTTTTATATTTTTGAAAATTTTCAATTTAAACTTATTTGGTTCATAACTTTAAAAGATATTTTCTATAAAACTTTTTATGAATAAATATAAAGTATTATATATTTGAAAGCATCATGTTATGGAGTTTTTAGAACAAATTCATTTTTTTAATTATATGGTTTTATTTACAAATAATTAATTGAACTATAAAGTAAGAAAGAAAAAAAAAACTTAAAGTTCACTGATAATTTTGGCAGTCACCGACGTTTCCTGACGCTTTATTTTTATAATTAATTAGTAGCTTAGGTGTCTATAAAAATGATTTAATAAAAATCAGGTGCGGATATGTGCGGTTTATAAAGCTTCAGATAAAAAAGTAATAAAAGTCAGAAAACAAAATAACCGCTTTTTATCGTGGTTTCAGACTATCTGTTTATAAAAAAAGTTTTTTTGTCCGATTTTTATTGAGAATTAATTTTGACGGACATACATTCAATTATTTTTGCATTTTGTGGTGAAAAACCAAGCTACAAGCTTCAGGTGTTATAATAAATGCTGAAAGTTTCAGGACATATGCTATAGAAACTGCCCACATTTGTGTGAATAACTAGAGCTGGTACTTTATGCCGTCTTCAGTGCACACTATTTTACATTAAGAAAATATCATAAAACATTTTGCAGTACTTCCTACCGGGTAACTTTTATAAGACGCGCAAAAATCCCGTAATAAAGATTATAAAAAATTTCGACTTCATCATGCCAGTAAATGTTCTAGATTAGCTACAAATGAGGACTTATTTCATACTTTTTTGTACACTTCCAATCCCTACATCACCAGCACTAGAAAACCGTACAGCAAAAATGTCCAAGAACTCAGTAAAAATACTTTGTAGCTTTTGAAAGTCGGCTTATAATTTATTCCATCAAAACTCACTCACATAAAAGTTGTTATTAATAAACTATTCTGAATATTGCTATAATAAGCATTTTATAAACTCTTGAAAATATATGTAATGTAATCAGGTAAATGTTTAAATATATGCAAATTAATCAATTACACACAACTATTAAAAAATCAAATTAGTAAACCAATTAAACCTAATATAAGGAAAATTTTTGTTTAAAAGATTAAAAAGTACGTTTGTTTTTTTTTGTCTAGAGATTAGCCAAAAGCTCGTATAAATGTTTTTATTATTATATAAATTTAATATTAATATATTTTCTAAATAAATAAGCATTTTTTTGTCGTTTCTAATACTTTTAAAGTTTTTAAATAAAATTAAAAAGAACATATTTAGTTAAAAGTAAAAATAAAATGAAAATTGTGAGGTTTTTAATATTTATTTAAAAGTTTTATATTAATTTTTTTTTTTTTAATTTTTCTTAAGAAGCCTCATATACTTCTTTACATTTGTGCAAAATTTCATCACTTTATCATTAGTAACAAAAAAGTTATTGATTTTTGTAAAAAAAAAAAAATGAAAATTGTGAGGTTTTTGATTTTTATTTACGAGTTTTATATTAATTTTTTTTTATAAAAAATATTTCCTTAGAAGCCCCATATACTACTCTACATTTGTGCAAAATATCAACACTTTATCTTTAGTAACAAAAAAGTTATTGATTTTTGATCCAAAACAGACCTTTATTTTCCACTGTGCGTCGTTTAAAATTCAAATGCAAGTTGTAATGACTTCAAAATCAAGATGATAAATGATAAATCAAAGAGATGATAAATCAAAGAGAAACGCTGCAAAGTTGATATTATTTTAAAATAAAAGGATAATTTTAAAATCTCTTTTTTACTATTTGTAAGACTTTAGAGGTCTTACAAAAACTGCAAAATGGCGAACTGGCAAAAGTGCGCCTAAAGAGTTTGCAAACAAGTACAAATAAGTGTGAATCAGTTTCAAAAAATGGCACAAGTGCGCCAAAAAAATTAGCAAACACTATAAGTGCGAAGCAGTACCAAAAACTGGCATAAGTGCGGATTGTCATAAATGCAAACGCCAAAAGAATTTGTTAACATTGGCATAAGTGAAAAGTGCCAAAAAAATGTATCCTTCTACCAGACTGATTCTAGATTGCACAGAAGTGTTTACTGAGATGCCAACAAGTTAAAGCAAACTGATTTGACAAAACAAAATACAACTATTTTTTTAGAACCAGGTGACTCAGGTATGGCAGACAGAGGATTTGAAATTTTTTCAAATTCCTTTGTCTGCCAATTTCTTCCAGAAAATATTTCATTAAATATTTCCCCTTTCTTCAAAGAAAAAATACAGTTGTTTCTTCTTTACCATCACATGATGTTGAAGCAGAGACAAGAAGAATCGTACCGGTTAGAGTAATGTAGAGCGACCAATAGAGCATGTAAAAACTATAAAATTTTACAAACAGTTTTTCTTCTATTAATGATTGCTGATCTGAATAAAATATGGGTAATATGCTGCTATCTGGTGAATTTTTGCCACCAAGTATTGCTGATAATAACAATGCCGACGAAGTATAAAAAGTTGTAAACAAAATAAATAGTTAGATTTATGTGTTAAAGTATTGTTGCAAAGTTTTTTTCTCTATTAAAATTATCACCTAATATATACTTGAATAAAATTTTAGGAGCTTTTGTAAAATTAAGTCTGCCTTTATTAAACTCAAATTTCTTTTTGTGGTTTCGACCAGCATGTATACGTATAACAGTTAGTGTAATATTGGAAGCAAAATAAACCTTGTCCATTCCTTTACTTTACGAACAATTTTTCGATGTTAAACTCTTCGTTATTTATTTCTCGTTTTGTTAAATACTTTTTGTAAGGTTACTTATTTGATTCACTTTAAATTTAAAGCAAAAACGACAAATCTTTATAACAAAACTAATCATCAAATTTAAGTATGGCTTGATCAATCAATATTTTATCCAGTTAGAGTTACATTTTGAAGTTATATTTGAGTCATTTATATGTGTAGTATATAAAATTTCCTAATGTTTTGAGGCGGCATAGTTTTACCACAATGCATTGCGAAATTTATCTACAGTGGGAACGGCGAATTTTTTTGGCGCGCTTATGCTAATTCGGACTCGTGTCAGTTTTCGCACTTATGGCCGTTTGCAAACATAACTGCTTCGCACTTATGGCCGTTTGCAATTGGTGCACTGAAGCCAATTAGTAGGGTTGTAAATTTTCTGCTAAAACTTGATTCAAAATTTACTGGTAAATTTTGAATCGAAGAGGGTAAATTTTATCAAGTAAAAAATTATTTTTTTAGACGAAAATAAAAAAAATAACGAAAATTATTTACAAATTTACCAAGCGGTAAATTTTATCTTTGCAACACTACCAATTTGCGCATGCCAATGCTTGCAAATTCTTTTGACGCATTTTGCCAGTTCGCACTTATTCAGCCTCCCGCTACATTTTATAAAATTCAGAGTGATGTTATAGAGATTTTAATTTATTTTTGAATCAGTATATTATTGGGTTCAGAATAGTTGTATGAATATTTTACATATTACGAAGAATAGCCTAGTTTTCACAGAATACTTTATGTAAATTTAGAATAGCTTACACCATTTTATATTAAATAGTACGTTATGTTAAAAAGAAAAGAAATAAAACAGTATGCTACCGAGTTTCGTTTATTAACTTTTTAACGTTATAAACAAAATAAAACAAACTTTAAAAAAAAATATTTACAGTTTTAAGAAAAAGACATAAAATTAATAACATAAGTTATAGAATATTTTCGTTTAAATATTTTTCTTTGGAAACTCAAGTTCAATTATTAATCAAATTAGACTTTTTAAAATATAGAAAATTGAACTTCAAAACAAAAATGTTCATAAGTGGTTCTTATTATATTAAAGCTTATATAACATTTTCGTCAAAAATACATAAGTTGTTAAAAACTATTATATAACACAACGCATTGTTACCGGTTTTAAACCAAATAAGAATTTTTTTACAAGAAAAAGAGCCTATCCGATAACTCTAAAGCCGGATCCTTGTGTAGCGAAGTACCAACCAAAAAAGCTAGTTTGTGTGCGTACTGTTTTTATAAAAATACAAATTTAAATAATATAGTCTAATCGATATTTTATTTAATCTAATCGATAATTTAATTAACAAGTTATCGAAATAAATAATAAACAAAATGTACCAACCTGACAGGGGGCAGGTACGCGAATTGTGCCGGGCCAGTTGTAGTATAAATGTGTCAATTTGTAAGATAATCTAAAACAAATATAGAAAAAATACATATATACAGTAAAACCAATTTCCCTGTACCAAATTGCTTATTTCTAAACTTTTTAAAAGTTATAGAACACGCCTTGTGACCATTGAAAATTAAAGATTTAATGATATTAAAAGCATCTTGGTTCGACCACGCGTTTAAAAATTTTTTATACCTCTGTATATGATCAGGTTTTAACCCAGTATCATCATAAACTACAACATAATGAGTAGGAGTCACTGTTCCTTGTCTAACATGTTGACTCACCAAAAAAAAATCAAACCTGAAAAAAAATTTAAGTTATATAACTATGTAAAAAAAAATTAGTTGTATGCTCTTATACAAAGTTTTTGAAAATCAATCATCCCGAACAAAAAAATATCCATCACAATGAATTTTTCTTGAAACCAAACCAAAACTTTGTTAGGGGTCGTTTATAAATTGTCACACTATAAAGGGGAGGGGGGGGGGGTTAATAGTTTTGTGACGACTCAAAAACTTGCTTCTTAAGTGTGACGAGGATGGAAAGAGGGGGAGGGGAGGAGGTCAAAAGCGGTCAAAATTTGCGTGACATAATTTAAAGACGATCCCTTATCATAATATATTAGATTTATATATTTTGGATGGATTAAACCACTAGGTCCCAACTCTAAACTATTTGCAAAGATTACATTAATTCATTACTTAATATTTACATTTTCACATAATATTATTGTTTAAAAGAAGAGTTCTTAAATACTTTTTTACTATATATGAGTTCATGACAACACAATAGTCTTGCAAAAGTGCTTTCCAGAACATTTTTTAATATTTTCATAATTTAATAAAAGATTTTTAATAATTTAATAAAACTAGCTTTTTTAATACACTTGGTCATTTATTTCAATTGACCAAGCTTTTATATGATTATAGTTTTTCAAATAACGAAAGCTAAGATTTATAAATGTAGAAAACAAAAAAGAATTAGGAAGAAGGCTAGTAAAAAACAAACAAACAAAACAGAAATAAGTTTATTTTGGAACTTAAATTAATCAACGACTGCAAGCCACTAACTATCCGAGAGGAGAAATATGGAGATACTGAAAAATTACTGACTGTACAAAACAAATAAAAATGATTTTTTACATGAATGGAATATATAGTGGTATCAAATGAGCTGATTTAAATGAAGATATAAAACAAAGGAAAAGTTTAGCACATCAAAGAGATGTTGAGATTTAAAAGAAAAGATTTAATTATTTTGAAAACTTTCCCAAGTACACCAAAGAAAGAGAACTGATGGCAGACATGTATTATAAAACCTGAAATCTGACATTTTAATTAAAAGTTGACTGTTTTGTAAAAGTATAGAAATTTTTTTTATCTCATATGAAATCCAAAGCAAACATATAATAGCCAAGTTTTGTAAACTTAATATTTTTTCAACTTAGAGTATAAAAATTATACAAAAACAACAAATTTTGATGTTAAAAAAATTAAAAAGTAGAGAAGTAAAATTTAAATATATACGTATATATTTGAAATTTGCTTCTTTATATGTATACACATATTATATATATATTTCATAAGCCCTTGGAATTAGGGAAAATAAGGTCGACAAAAAATTTGCGACCTAAAACCGGTTTAGGTTGGCAAAATGTCGGCGCCTAAATTTAAGAAAAAGTTCGACAAACATGATAACGTTTAGTATAAAATTTGCAGACAATGGCCGACTTTGACAACTTTTCTTTCAAATTATGTTTAAAAATTTGAAAAATTTTTTGCAAAGTTTTTTGCTACATGACACTCATACCTATTGTTGCTAAAACTATGTTCATTTTAAAATATTAATTTTACATTCATTATACAGTTCCTTGTTTGTGTATCAATTTATTGTTATACATAAACATATAACAATAAATGTATTATTGTTATACATATACAATAATACATTTAACAATTTCATTTTTTTTCACGGACAAAATAACTCTCAATATCTATTTTTTAATAATGTGGATGCTGAATAATTACAAAACCTGTTAAGTATTGATAAGTGTTGCTACAAGTATGAGCAAGTAAAAACATGCATTGTTATTTATTTTCAACCATTAAAAAAAAAAGAGTAATATTAATATACTTTTAAGCATCATCTCCATCAAATGCACATGAAATCATCTCCATCAAATGCACATGAAATCATCTCCATCAAATGCACATGAAATCATCTCCATCAAATGCACATGAAATCATCTCCATCAAATGCACATGAAATCATCTCCATCAAATGCACAAGCATCATCTCCATCAAATGCACATGAAATCATCTCCATCAAATGCACATGAAATCATCTCCATCAAATGCACAAGCATCATCTCCATCAAATGCACATGAAATCATCTCCATCAAATGCACAAGCATCATATCCATCAAATGCACATGACTTCAATTGAAGTTATTCTAGATATGCTTCAATTTTTTCTCAACTTTAATGTTTAAACTTGATTTTGGTTTAATTAAAAATTTTAAATCCCATTTAACAAATATTAATTTTAAAACATCATTGTTTCTCTATTATAATCAAACTTATTGTTATTTTGATTCTCGGACATAAAAATTTGCAAAAGACTTTTTGTTTATTTTTATATTTATTTATTTATTTATTAGTAATTATTTTACTTTATATTTATTAGTCATTTTTCTTTTCTTAGTTAATACATCACTTTTTTCTTTCCAACAGTAATATAAAATGACAACATTAATTGCTGATGGTTTTGTTTAGCTATCATTAACCTAACTCTATACATTATTGGTTATTATTATTTTTTTTTTTTCTTCTGAAAAACATCTATCATTAACCAAACACGTTATCATTAAACAAAAATACAATTTAAGGATTTTTTTTTTTTGAAAAATAGTTGTTGATTTAGGTTGTAAAAATTAGTTCATACATCGTTCTTGAAATGATACTGATGACTTTAGATAATATTTTAGTTTTAAATGATATTCTTTAAATATTATTTTAGTTTGAGATGACACTCTTTAGACTTTACTAGACTTAAAGAGTGCTATCAAAAAAAAAAAAATGCTACTTTATTACTCTATTCTTTAAGAAACCTTGAGCACATTTTTTTGTAAAATACACTAACATTCACTTTCCTTGGCTTTTTAAAATAAAATTTATTAAAATTTTGTAATTTTGTAAGAATTTTATACTTTGTTCAAAAATGGCATACAAACTGTATAAAAGTAAAAAAACTGTATAATATAAAAAAACATAAATATACCAATCCTTCCGAGTAACTGTGTGATCTAATACAGACCCAGGAGCTGGATTTTCAAGACCACCATTCTGAAACACAATTTGTGATATAAAAAAAAATAATATTTTTTACAGAACAAATTAATATTCTACAAAATGTCATCATATTATCGTTATGATTCAAGTTAAATTCAACTATAATAGTATTTTATTTGAGTGTTATGCATTATAGTATATTACACACTGTATGAACTTTTCCTTTAGAACATTAAGTAATATTTTAATATTACTTAAGAATATTTAAAGTCTTTTGTACTTGGCCTCTGCAATGTTAAAATTAGTTTCACTGAATTTTATGCAGTTACAAATAACTAAAAATTTTAAATGTTTAAAGACTTTAACCTCATTTGAAAATGTTTTTTTTTGTCACCCAACAACCTATTAGACTCAACCTAATATACCTTATAGCAAAAACATTGAAAAAGTTAAAACCTTAAATCATTGAAAAAGTTGAAAATGAACTGAGCATGGTAATACCATTAACAAAAGTATTGTGAAATTAACAAAAGTATTGTGAAATTTCCAACCAAAGACAACCACTATTACAAAAATATACTTTTTTCTTAGAGTTGTCTTAAAGTTAAAACTCTTAGAGAGGAAAATACAAATATACTTTTTTCTTAGTTGTCCTTGGGTTAAAACTCTTAGAGAAAAGGAAAATACAAGGGATAGTTAGTATTGACTTGCGACAAAAACAAATCTAAATTATATCTGCTATATTTCTGGGCTAAATTTTAATAAAAATATATTATATAGGTAAAACAAACAAATGAAATAGATATAAATACCTGTATTGCAAATAACCTTTGTGATATTCTCTTTTGTACAACAACTACACACATTTTTGGATGATAACTGTCATTTAACAAGGGAAAACAATCTTGTAGTTGTTTTACTTCATAATTGGACACAATCTCTAATTGTCCATCACCAACACCATCACGAAAAACAAATATCTTTTCAGGAAGGGAATGATTTTCCTTAGTAGATAAATTGATACATTATTAGAAAATATTGGTTATGATTTATTTTATAAATTTATAAGGCAAGGGTTGAACTAAGTGATCACAAATTGCAACATCTGCAAATATTTCTGGTCCTCAATTCTTAGTTTATTAAAAACCTGAACACTGTTTTAATAAAACAGTCAATCATATTGCAAAAATTAATGAAAAACAAAACAATAAAATTATTACTGCAAAAAAAAAAAAAAAAAAAAAAAAAAAAAAAAAAAAAAAAAAAAAAAAAAAAAAAAACTTGCATATTTTAAAAAAACACACTTAAACTAGCATATTTTAAATTATTAATTGTTTAAATGCCAGGTAATTTAAGCTAATAAAAAAAGTTGTAGTAAAAAAATATTTTTTACTAAAGGTGCAAAAAATTTGCACAATTATTTAAAAACCAACCAATTAAAAATTATACTAAAGCTATTTGTGAATTGTATGAAACTTTAGAATCAATTTTGGTACAGGGGGAATTTGTCTAGGTAGAACGAACTTTGAGGACTTATTAAAAAATTTAAATTAGAAATTAATTAACAATAATAAAAAAAGATATTTCAAAATAAGTTAAAGTTTTTTTGTTTTATTTTTAAATAAGTATAAGTAGTTTAAATTAGTTTTTATTTTTTTTTTGTTTTTAATTTCTATTGTCTTTAATTTCATATACATATCTAATGTGTATAATATTTCATGTACATATCTAATATATATAATATTGAAAAAGAACATATGTATATGTGTATATATATATATATATATATATATATATATATATATATATATATATATATATATATATATATATATATATATATATATATATATATATTGGATGGACACAGAAAAACCTAATAAATATCAAATATCTGTGTTAGAGAGTTACAAGCATTTAATTGACAGTTATATTTGCTTGAAAGGAAAATATTGAATTAGATTTAAATAAGATAAAAAAATTTTGTCTTTTTTGAAATTGTGATAAAAAGTATTTTATCACAATTTCTTTTTGTTAAAATAATTGATCACTGCTAAATTCCTTTAGACTGTTGTGATTGTTTAAAATGATCATTGATCTTTGTTCTCATTGCAAAATTGTTGACCAAAAGATAAGGAAGAAATGTTTAATTAAACAAATAAAAAGCATTTGTGGTTTTAGAGAAATATCAATTTAAAATTGACTGGATATTTTAGTCTCCACTCGATATTACATTGTACTTTATGTTTTATTTTTCTTGTTTTATCTGATGATTTATCAAAGAAATTAAAATATTAAAGTTTAAATCATAATTTTAATTAATTATAAAAATTATAATTAATTATAAAATTTATAATTAATAATAAAAATTATAATTAATTAATAAAAATTATAAATAATTATAATTAATTATATTAACAATATGGTTTTATAATGAAATTTTATATCATAATTTCGAGATCATTTTTTTAATGAATTTAGTGTTAAAAACAAAGTTTACAGTTTTTAAAAAACTAAAAATTCAAAGACCAGAAGCATTTTCAGATAGGCATTATTATATAGGTTTATTTTACTATAAAAAAAAAAGATTTATTTTATTGAAAATAAATTTTAAAGACTTGCATCATGATACTTTTTAAGTGCACCAACAAAACATAATTTTAGCCCATCAATTAACTCCTGACCAATGTTTTGAAAAACACATCTAGAATACCATCGAGTAAATGTACTGTTTGTGCTTGCAACAAAGCCTCCAACAGAACGAGATCCTTTCGATGTATCATGATGGACATCAATGCCACAAATCATCACATTTTTCTAATATAATAGAAGAAGTTACAAAGCTAATTTTCATTGATAAACACTGTTAAAAAAATATAATTAATAATAAAACATTTAAAACACTTTTTACGTTAGACATTTTTTTTTGTTTAATTACAGAATTTTATATTTTGCACTGTTAATTATTAAACGTTACAAAAAACAACAACAAAAAAAAGGTACAAATAACTAAAAAATAAAATATGAAAATAGCTTTTCTAAATGTTCATTTTAAATGAATATTTACAATAACTTTGTGATAATGAAATGAATCGAAATGAATTACCATTGGTATGTTAAGAGCCCAAAGTTCACCTCCAAGTTTTACATTTATTTGTAGTGCCACTTTTTGAGTGACACTTCTCAACTTATTGGCTTGAGAAATAGTACGTGCGTTAATCATCTAAAAAAAAAAAAAAAAAAAAAAAAAAAAAAAAAAAAAAAAAAAAAATCAATTTTATATTTTTAAAATAACAATATGCACAATAAACAAATTATTAATTTTAACTACAATAAATGGCCACACTTTTTTAAAACAAAAAAATACTTATACAAAATCATTTATTTCTAAGGAATTAAAACTTGCTTCACAGATATAAAGATAGAGAGAAGAAAAAGAAAAAACAACAAATAGATTTTGCAAATGATAGTCTTACACACTTGAAATGTATTTTCACGCATTTATTATAAACTCTAGCAACAATTAAATACAGAATAACTTAGTACTATAATTCAAAAACTTATAAATAAATATAAATTTGATTTCTATTTTTCATTTAGGAAGGTAAAAAAAAAAAAAAAAAAAAAAGCACTGTAAATATGACTTTTTGAATTTATTGATTCATAAAAAATATATATAAACATTTTATGACCTATGTCCATATAAATGTAAATGGCTTCCTACACCATATAATTAGTACTATTTCTGATCATTATTGCTAAAACATAATAACTTTTATACCTGGGAGGGAACAGGTGATTCAATGCAGCATAGTTTTTTGACAGCAGCATATCGGTCATCTCTTGAAGTAGGAAATATGCAAACCACACATTGGACTTTCTGGTTTAGATTTTCTCTAATGGTTCTCAAGTAGGTTTCTGTTCGATCATCATTTAAGGCAAAAAAGAAAGGATCGCCACACTATATTATTATATAAATATAGTCAAATAATATTTTAAAACTTAATTTAAGTAAACAAAACAATAACAACTAAGTGTTACTACTAACAACTGAGCAAACAAGAAGCTAATATATATATATATATATATATATATATATATATATATATATATATATATATATATATATATATATATATATATAAGGAGTTTTTTTATTAATATAAAAAGGCATTAAAAAAATAAAAAACAAGCAAATTAAAAGTAAAATAAAATTAACCTTGAAACCCATTTGTGGACAGCACTGCTTCATTGTTTGAACGAACTCAAATGCTTTTGGTTGGTCACGCTTTGTAGATATAACCATCCAACTATTAATGTCAATCTATAAACAAATTTGTTGATAAACTATATGATAAATCTACAAATAAAAAAATTCTAAATAACTAACATAACAATTAGAAGCAATATATATCTAATATCTAGTATATTTTAAACTTCCAATTATTACATTTTACTTAAACTTCATCAAAACTAAAATTTATAAAACAATTTTAAAAAATTGTAGAGATATTATATAAGTTTATATTTTCTACAAAATAATTACAAAAATTATTAAATAAAAGATCTACTTTAAAAACTGCTTAAATTCCATGCTGTTCACAAATTTTATTGATTGTATGAATTTTTTTTTGTGATTCACTTTCCCAAGGTCAAGAAGGCCACTACAGATTAGGTGGCTGTTTGTGGTTATAACTCTCTCTTAACTCTATAACTCTGAAACACGAACCTTGACAAACAAGGGCAATTCACAGAGAAACAAGTTATGTGCGGTACTACAAGGGACGCGGTGGAAATGGAACTTGGAACATCTTGCTTATGAAGCCAGCGTTCTACCCTTACACCACTACCACATTAAGTTGTGTTGGAGAAACCTCCAGAACAGCATGGACAAATAAACACATTACACTTGATAATCAAATTATATTAAAAAAATCTAACAGACTCTAATTGTTTTAAGATTTTAGATAATAAAAAAAAAAAAAAAAAAAAAAAAAAATCTTTTGCAAAAAATTAAAACTTTTAAAAAGTTAAACTCTATATCGAATGGAGATTCCTCTTTAAATGAAAAAAAATAAAAATAAGAAAAAAATATTAATTTATATAATTTATAATATTGTTAGAGTTGCAAAAGTAAAGTGTATTTTTTCTTTTCATGGTTTTTTTGCCCTAAACATCATGTTTTTTTGGTTTTAGTGCATTTCTGAGTTTTACAGATTCATACTACTTTTGCTTGTTTACTCTTGTGTGAACAGAGAGTTTAGCAAAAGAAGTAATAATTTTTTTTAAAACTATTATTTTCAAATTTTGTTTAAATTTGAGTCTAAAATTAAATAATGGACAACATTTTTTTTCCTGGTGTGACGACAGACTACTTTATTGCTATTAACACTCATTAAGATTTATATCAAATAACTAATGTGAATGATATTAGTTTTTATTTTCAAAATAATTAAGTAATCAGTGAGATACAATTAGAATAATAGTAGGACTCAAACTGTTGTGTAATTTAAAAATAATTTGGTCTAAGTATACCACTAACTATATGTATATATATATATATATATATATATATATATATATATATATATATATATATATATGTATATATATATATATATATATATATATATATATATATATATATATATATATATATATATATATATATATATATATATATATATAAAGATAGCAAAAAAACAAAAAAAATTTTGAAAAAGTTTTTTCAGTTATTATTTTCTGCTGTTAATTGGATTTTACACTCTATAAAAAGTTTAACAGATTTGACATTTTAAATTTTTTGAAGATAACTAGTGTTAGTTAATACTTTCATTTTGTATTAAATGAAATTTTAAATGAAATTACTAACAATAATAAATGTTAAAAATGTTTTTTAAGAATTAAAAAATTTGTACAATTTACAATTTTAAGTTCTCATAAATTTGATATTATATTATTAAAAATTTTTTTTTTCATTCATAACTATAACAAAAGACTGAAAACAAAGACATTTTAAAATATACCCCAGTAATAACAGCTTCTCGTGTTGCTTCTTTACCCCAGTCAGCTTCTCTGTTGCATATTATTGATTTATTGTTACCCAAAATAATTTTTTCTGGTGGAAGTAAACGACCTTCAGTCTAAACAAAAAGAAGTATCAAAACTAATAAAAAAAAAAAATTAATATTATCAATAACATTGTTATATACATACATACATACATATATATATACATATATATATATATATATATATATATATATATATATATATATATATATATATATATATATATATATATATATATATATATATATATATATATATATATATATATATATATATATATATATAAACACACACACACACATAAACCTAACTTTTCAATAAAAAGAATCATTCAACTAACAAACAAACCAAGACCAGACTACCTGACCTCAGTCAAAATGGATAAACTAAATACTTCATAATTTTAAATTAAAAAAAAAAATTAAAAAAAGATAAATCAACTGTTAAACTTTAAAATGATATCATAATTACACTCTCTGGAAATTCTCAAAAATTACACTTGCCATAATAAATTAGGTCAAAATTCTTGTCATCACTACGGATTCAATATTCTATATGAACCAGCATAAAAATTATCCAAGCACCAAGACTTGTAATCTCATAAAAAAATCTCTCTCTAAAGAAGTTGCAAACACAATTATTTGCATGTATAAAATATTCAATTAACCTTATGTTCATACTAAACCTCAAAGAACGTTTCATAAAACATTTTAAAAACTGAAGTCGGAGTTTTACTCAAAAAATTTGAACAACTGGAGTCGGAGTAGTAACTTTTATTTTACAACTCCACGTCCCTGCTTCTATCAATTACTTACATTTTAAACAGAAAGAACATAAAATGTTCTTCTTTCCGTCTAAAATCAGAAAAATTGTCAAAGAAGAGCTTACAAAAAATTTTTATACCTTGTACATAACTTTGTTAATAAAAATTTAAAACTACATAACTAAACATAAGACAGACAATCAAAAATTTACATACAGGGTAGCCACTCAAATTTGAAAATGAAATTCCATGACATTTCCATGACTCTTCATAAACTTTTATGATAAATCACTAGAGTAAAATATTCAGTACTTGCAATTAAAAATACAGCATTTGCAACCATGTACTAAGCATTTGGTCATTATAAAACATGCAAACCAAAAACTAATTGGTAAAAAGTTCTGAAATCATGCAAACCAAAAACTAATTGGTAAAAAGTTCTGAAATCATGTCTAAAAAAACTCTTTTTCAAAAAGGACATAGACTAGACATACTAGTACTTTTCTTTGCATCCTGAAAATATTGCAAGTAGAAAAAAATAAATATAATTTTAAAAAGTTCCACGAATATTCTGTGACTTTCAATGAAAATTTAGGAACTCCATAACATTTCTATGACAAGTGGTCACCCTGTATATTTCAACCAAAAACTTCCCTTGGCTCAAAACTTTTCAACTTATCTGCACCTCATAGCTCTTTAGAATCAATCTAAAAGACTAACACTTGAACTTTTCTTAGAAGCTGTTTCATATTGATTGTTAACTGTTTAAAAACTTCAGAACAATCTCTTTTGTGATTGATGCTGAATAATTGTACTCTATTTTATAAATATTTCTGTTCAAATTATTATATAAAATAAAATATTTGCTGCGGTGCACTTCTTCTTTCAGTTTGTTCCTTACAATGATAGTAGTTCCATTCAATGACAGTATGTAATTGGTTGTTTAGCCATGCAACGACACAACCGATTATTTCATTAATTTGATATACATTATAACAATTTGATATAGATTATAACTAACATTTTGATATACATTATAAATATAAAACACACAAAATTAACAAATATCATGAGCACACACTATCAAAATCACTAACTTTTAATAAATCTTCCTCTAAGTGTAAACCCCAATTTTCCAACTCAGCTAAAGCTGTAGGGTTGTTATAAATATTTTTAATATACTTCCGCATTGCCATCTGACGTTGGTTTGGAGTAATACGCGTGTGTTGTGCAATATCCTAAAAATATTGATTTATTGTAAGTTTTTGCTAAAACAAACAAATTAACTCAAACAAGCTTTTATTTAAATAAATAATACATATTTACTATAAGATAATATTTAAACTAGAATTTTAACTAAAGTTCATGCTTTCTTGTATTTAATACTATAGTATTAAATACAAGAAAGCATACTTTATAGTTTAGTATAAATCTTATAATTTCTTTATAAACCAAGTATTAAATCCTTGGTTTATAAAGAAATTATAAGATTTATACTAAACTATAAAGTATTAAAACAATATACAAAAATAACATTAAATTAAATAAACATAATATTATAATATAAATAATATAATATATAATACTATAAACATAAAAGTAAAACTTATATTTATAAAGTTATGTTTCATTTATAAGTAATATAAAAATTATAAACTGTTGATAATAAAAGTAAACAATAAGTAACAAAGTCTAAAAAAAAATTCATACCTTCATTACACGGAAATCAGCTCTCATATCATCTGTAAGGCCAGTCATTGAACAAAGTTCTGGTATTAGGCATATGACCTCTAATGGTTTACCCTGCAAGATAATAAATTACTAATTTATAATTATCTATTAAAATATTTATACTCATTCAAGTTTTCAAAACTAAACTTAGAAATTTTAGCTGTATATTTTAACTGTTTATAATCAATATTTATTATCAATACATGTTACAAGTTATTGAGCTGTAAATTTTAAATTAAGTTTTTAATAATGATATTTACATTTAAATTTTTCATGGTACAGCAGTTGATAAAAAAAATTTCAAAAATTAATGTCAAAATAAGGAAATACTTTGAACTTTATAAACTTCAAAAATTAATTAAACATTTATTTAAAATCATTATATCAGGATATCTATTTTCTGCTAGAGTCAAGTTTTACTTACCTTTGTTTTATCAAACCAACACAAAATAAAAATTTTAAAAATTTTAAAAATCAAAAAATATATATTAAATATATATCATAAAATAAAAATTAAAAAAATTAAAATACTCACAAACCTTAGGTTTAACACCTTTTGGTTCCTTAGGCCTGTGTATTAAGAGGGGTTGACCCAAATCTGACAATTCTTTATTATACGATTTTCTAAAACAGAAAAGTAAATAAAAATAGTAAACCTCTTTTCATTGATTTTATTTTTTAAAAACATAATCTACTTTTTAAAAGCTTTTATCATATAAATTTAATCAAGAATATCGAGCATAGGATTTTTGGCAAAAGCAGAATAAACGTAAAAAAGTAAATAATTAACTGTTCAACCAAAAAATAACTTAACATTCAAAAAAAAATACACCTTAATTTTAAAGTAACTAAAATGCAAATTTTAAAAATATTTAAACCTATATTAACTAGAGCTCCAGCTAAATATGGAGTTTCTTACAACCCTAACTAAATAATGGTAGTATAAGTTATTATTCAAAGCTAAAATACAAAGTGCAATACATTATATGAGAAGTTGATGTTCAAAACGCAAAAGTCACAAAAATAAATATTTTGAGTTACTTTTATTTTCACACTCTATATAATGAAATCTAACATCTATTTGAATACTAGACCAGTTTAAAGTTTTTTTGTCCTAAAAAAAAACAACAACAAAGAAAATATTAAGTTGTGCAACAGTGAGTAGTTAACTTTTTTGTCATTTTTTAAATATTAATTAATTCAGACTAGATTCATTTTGTAAACGAACTTCTCATATATTGTATACTTATGCAAATATTTTCTATTTATTTATATACAGGCATATAGTATAACTATATACCTAATGAGTTTAAAATGTGCTTAAGAGGTCTAAAACATTTACAACTTTAATGAGTCAAAAACATTTTTTTGAGTTGTTAAACAAAAAATAATTTTAATACTTCCACTTGTATAATAAAATATTGATAAATAATTATTCATAATAATAAATTTAAGCATACAATTAGCAAAAGCATACAATTTGCTAATTGCTGTAATGAGTGTTGCTTATGTTTACTTCGAAGTTTGAGTTATTATCATTAGTTTTAATGTTTCAGTTTAATTTGTTTCTTCCTCAGAAGTTTCAGTTATTATCAAATTAGCAAGATATTTACAACGGGGTTAGAATTATTAGACCTTAATCTACAATAGATACTATCACGTACTATGAGGCTTTATCTCCTCTTTTTAGTACTAGTATGGAATTATATTATTTTTAAAATTAAATTTAAAAAATTTGGAATATACTACTAAGATTATAAACAATAAGAACTTAGAAATTTAAAACTTATAAAGTAACTTAGAAGGATTTAATATATTGAATAACTTAATAATCAAATGATATAACTATATCAAATAGTATACAAATCTTAAATTGGTTTAAAAATTCCACACTCATTACCTCAAACAAAAAATAGTCCTTAGTGCAGTAAGAAAATCATAGGTTTTTGGAATCAGGAATAGGTTTTATTTCCTTTTTTTGAACTTTTTCAAGTTCATTAATATATATAGGGCATAATTCATTTTTTAACTATTGAAAGTATAATTTTATTTTTTGAATTTCGACTTTAATTAAAGACGTTTTTTGTAAAAATAACATTTTAGTAGCCCTATTTTTTTTTTACTAATTGAAGATTTCTTTTTGAAAGATTAAAGCCAATTTTTTCTGTTTGAAAAAATACATTTCAGATAAAAATAATTATTTTATAAACACATTGGTCTTGATTAACTTCTCACATGATTATCATACAAACAAAAATAAGTTAAAGCAACCAACAAAAGGTTATATCTAAGAAAAAATTATGCTTGTGACTTGATTTTAAACTTTTGTCAAAAAGTAATACACCTTTAGATGAGAAACTTAACTTCTTGACAAACATCTAAACTTTTTATACCTTGCTTCCTTAATGTACATAGTACAAGTAACTTGTTAACAAGCACTTATTGAGTGTATTAAGTCGATGACTTTTGCACTCGTTAAGTAACAAATGTGGAATTGTTGAGCCTTCTATTTGTTGGTACTTGTTAAACTACTACTACTACTACTACTACTACTACTACTACTACTACTACTACTACTACTACTACTACTACTACTACTAATACTACCTTTTGATAAAGAGGCATTCAAACAACAATTTTTAAAAACGTTTTTTTTTTAAAAAAAAAAGTTTTGCAATTAAGAATAAGCTTTTCTTTGCACCAGTTTAGTTCTGTTAAATCTTTTTTTAAGGTCGGGTTTCATATTTTATAACTGAAATTAAACATCGAAAAATAAATAAATTATAATCATAATAACACTTACTTGTAGTATTCAACATAAGACATTTCTTCCCCGTCATGATAAGTAAAGGTTGATTCAGGAGTTTTGTCCCACGCAATATCATCAATACGATATGTTTTGTTGTTGTATCTACATGAAATAAAACAAAATTAAAAAAAAAACAACAACTCAATAGCTATATATAAATAAAAATAACTTGACTATTGAATAGTTGAATATCAAGTAATATAAAAATAATATATAATAGTTATATATGATTTTAAATATCAAATATTAAATACTATTATATAATAGTATAGTTATTTAATATGTTAGTATAATAGTTATTTAATATATTTATTAATCTAGTAAATAGATTTAAAAATAAAAATGCAAAAAACATCTAAAATCTTTGAATTAAGAAGTAAACTTGATTTAAGTGTCACCTTGTCAGCACTATTGTTCCAACAAGTTTTTTTGTTACTTCATTTTGATAGTCTTGCTGATTTTTTTGAATTATATCATACCTAAAATATTCAAAAGAACAATTAAAAATCTTTAAAATAATTTTTCTGCAATCCCCAGCACCCTGGTAGTACCGCGCTCAATTTGTTTCTCCGCGCAGCGGCCTTGTTTGTTTTGTGTTTCAGAGTTATAGAGTTGAGAGAGGATAATAACCACAAATAAGTAGCATCCTCGTCTGTAGTGGCCTTCTCGGCCTTGAGGAGGTGAATTAACAAAAAAAAAAAAAAAAATTTTTTTTGCACATTTATATTGCTTTACTACATAGCACAACTCCAAACTTTCGACAAAATAAAAATTGTAACTGAATAAAGGATACTGCTTTCTACATGATCTAAAATGATTGCGCCCTCCATCGGGCGCAATCATTTTGTAACTTGGAAAGACGCATTGTATCAAATTGATACGTATAACAATTGACCAGTTTACTATTTTATTTTTATTATATATATATATATATATATATATATATATATATATATATATATATATATATATATATATATATATATATATATATATATATATATTTTAAATAAACTTTTTAAATAATCTTTGAACAAATATGAAATATTTACAATAACCAAAAATTCCATGACAATTGCTATTTACAATAAAAGAGAAGATTAATCAAATTGATACGAATTCCGAGTGACTATTTTAAAAAGCTAATTATATAATAAAAAATAAAAAGTTTCTGAGTTCTTTGAAAAAGAAGCGTAACATATAATATTAATTTAATATGTTTACCATCATGTTCGAACATATCATTTCTGAACGTTAAAACCTGGTACAATTTTTACGCAATTTCCACAATAGCTTTTTAGGTGTGTCAAACAAACAGGTTGATGGTGTTGTTGACAATTACAGGCCCGTAGAAACAAAAGTTATTTTAGGGGGCAGTACTATCAAAAATAGTTTTATGGTAATATATTTTTTTCCAAGTCATTTTCTTTAAAATTAAATTAGAAAAAATATTGGGGAGGCAATTGCTCCTGGCAGGGGGTGGAAAAGGGTGGGGGCTAAGTCTTTTTTATTTTATTTCTAATGTTATCTTGGGATTGTTCTAAAACAGTGAAAACTATCACTGAGTTCTTTTGGTAACTCTTATTTTTATTTCTTATTCTATATTCATCAAGCTTCCAATATTAAATATTAAATCTCACACTATCATCCATTTTAGAGGCAAATAGGAGAAATTACTAATATTAAAAAGAAAAATATGAACAAATCAAATTATTATTTAAAAATATAAATAGAAAATGTTTTAATTATATATACAAAATATTAGATTTATATTCAACCTATTGCAATAAAGACTTTTTTAACCAATAAGGCTCTAAGGTGCAATGTATCAATTTGATATTTAAAAAAAATACATCATCAGTGAATTGAACAATAAATAACATCAAATTGTGTCTACAAATTCAAAAATGTATATATTATAATCAAACTTATAAAATGTAACATACAAGGGCGCAATATATCAATTTGAACAAAATGATAAAAATCAATTCATACAAAGTGATTTAAACGTGTTTGATAATGTGGAACAATAAAAGAAAAAAAAAATAAAGCTACTAGAAAGCAGAACTTTAAATCATTACTCAAAAACTTGTATGAGATGAAAATTATTTGGGTGTATCAATAAGATCTAGCGCGCCCGACGGAGGGTTAAGTACAAAGTATTTTTTTAAATGACATTGAATCTGAAAAATTTTAACACTTTCCTAAGTAGACTTCAAAAACTGTTTTTTTTAAATGAAAATGTACAAAAAACATTTGATTAAACATAAAAATAAATAGCAGTATTTTATCTAAAAGCAGTATTTTATCTAAAAGTATCTAAAATAAATAGCAGTATTTTATCTAAAAGTTATAAATAAGTAATTAAATAGGAACAATTTTTTTTATGTATTTTTTTTTAATATTTGTTTATGTATATATTTGCTTATATATTTTGGGTCAAAGCGAATTTGTTTTTATTAAAAAAAAAATGCTGAAAAATGCTTTGCTTAAAAATGCTCTGAATTAAATAATTTTCCAATGCAGTTACAACAAATTTATATTTTAATATACTATTTTGTTGAAACTTTAGACTTTTTTATATTGATTTTTTTTAAATTTAAATAAATTAACATTTTTTTTTAGTCGAAGCTGCTTCCCTGTTTTGTAATAGGCCAAACAGTCTTCATAATATATGCCATTATCTACAGGGTTGATAATTTATTCAAGCGAGTTTTATTCCTAAGAGTTTTAGTATATGACATCATAGATTTTTCTGTTTGTTTAATAGACTGATCTTTTAAATCAATGACATCATGTACTATAACACTAAGGAATAAAACACGCTTGAAAAAATTACCAAGTCTGTAGATTGCGGCGCATATCATAGACTTTTTGGCCTATTACAAAATGGAGAATGGTGAGCTTTAAGAAACTATTTTAAAAACGATGTTATATACATATATTTAAATTTTTTAAACACCATAAGAAAAGATTTTAAGTTATAAAAAAGTTTCTTATAGCAAAATTTAAAAAAAATAATGTATTAACTTGAATTATCATTCACTTGTAGTTTTTCCAACCCATTAGCTAACTCAAAATTTTTTGAGGTTTTTATAAAATAAAATGTTATCAAATATTTCTAAACTCAATTTTAAAGTTATTAGTTATGTTCTATATTATCAAGTTATTTCAAAACAACTTACATGTAGTTCAAGCAAGTGTCAGTACGCAGCAATCTGTGAGAGACATCAGCCAATAACATTATGCCTCCTAATTGGCAAAATATTATAAATTAAAAAATATATTAAATATTTACTATTTATTATTTACTATTTATTATATTTACTATTTTTATTTAATATATTAAAAGAAAAAAATTTAAACAAACTTTACCTTCATATGCCTGAATAGCTGTAATATATCCTGGCCATAACTCTAATTTGTGTTGAGGTATCATAGCTGGGGATTTAGGGTCATAATAATATCGCCCAACTTGTTGAAGTTCAAGAATTTTCATGATCCTAATACAGAACAGGAAAATTTATTTTTTATTTATTAAGCGCTATATTTTAATTTAAAAATGTTTTTACCTTCTTAAAAGAACATTGTAAAGTTGCATGCATTGTGAAGGGGCTAAAACTTTTACAAGAGTTATAGTTACTTGAACAGCAGTGTTATCAGTTTGCCTTTTACTTGTTAAATTAATTTGCTAAAAACAACATAACTAAAAATTAGCAATAAAAAAAAAAAAAAAAAATCACCAAAAAAAGTAATATCTAAACTATGAAAATAAAAAGCTGTGAAAGAAAAAAAAAATCTAAACTAATCTGTTTAATGTTTTTTGATCTTTATTTTTTTTTTATTTCATTTATAAATTAAGGAATATTTAATTTGTTTGGTGGGCTGGGGATAAAAATAGCTTTTATGTTTTTTTACTTTACAAAATTCAGAAATATTGTTTATGAAAATTTAATAAAGCCACAAACGTTAAAGAATAAGATAACTAAAGTTAACTGTGTCTAAGTGACCCTGACAAAAAACAAATAATTGTTTCCAACCATTAATTTGTCAAAGTTATTTTGTATAAAAACCACTGAAAAACTAATTAGGTCAGATTTTGAATATTTTGAATTATTACCAAAACAACAGTTCAGATTTTGTATTTTAAAGTAAAAAAAATCAGACAGAAAAATTATCAACAACTTCTTGTTTTTTGCTTTTTTAAACTTGCACAGTTCTACTGCTGCTGTTTTTATTAACAATCGCTCATAATACCTGTTACTTTATTTTAATTTTATGTTACACATTTTATATTATGTTTTCTTGATTGTGTTATTTGTTATGTTATAATTCAAGAGAACTTTTTATAAATCTTATGCAGTAATCTTTTTTATAAAGTCATTTTTTATTAAAGCAAGTTTACGTGCAAGACATAAGTAATTTACTAAGTTTATAATTTTGTTTAATAAAACTTCTAGACACCTAACACTTGATCAAGCTAAATTTAAGGAATTTTTCTAGTGCAGGTATTAAGACATAAAACATTTTAGAAATCAAAGAAAACATTTGTAAAAAGTTTTTTATGTTTAATGGAAACAAATACGGAAAAATAAGAATATTAAAATTATTTTGAAATAGTAATAGGAAAGCTCTGTGTAAAATAATTTTTTTTATGTTTTATGGAAAAAACAGAGAAAAATATTAATTAACTTACAGGTTGTGGTAGCCTGTGAGGAAGAAATAGTGTTGAACCATCAAAAGCTTTAGCTTTCCCAATCACTTCTGTATGTTCTTTAAGCATTCCAAAACGCATGTTCTTACTCTCAATAGGTGGACTGCAATAAAATATAAAATTTAGAATATATATTATTTATTATATTATTAATTTTAGAATATATTGTAACAACTCTTTTAGAAATTTTAGCAGATTTTTCATATAAAAAAGCAGGTGTGATAGAAATAATTATTATCAATTAAGGATGATGTATTTAAATAAATACTAATTTGAAAAATTATTAAAAATCCTACTTGAAACTGACATTGTATTGAAATGCGCCTTCATTTCTACACTTTAATCTCACAAAATTTAAATACATAGGGTTTCTAGAAGTAAAATTTAAAAATAAACACATTTTGTGTAATTTTATATTTGCATATTTGTGAATTATTTGCAACTATAAAATGAATTATAGTTATATCAATATATAAATTTATATTAAATTATACTTGTAAATTACTATCAGTTTTATGCTACTAATTACTAATTTAAATGAACTATAAATTTCTTACAATCTTGTGATATTAATTACATATAGTGTTGCTATGTAAATAAGTTTAGTAATAGTGTTGTGTAACTTTCATATTTACTTACGCGGTTCCTTGTGTTCCTTTTTCAAAGCTTTTACTATTTAAAAAAAATATATATTAAAAATGTTGAAACTGTATAAAGTACATTATTATTAAAAAAATGCATAAAATGTTTAAATTACACTATAATATATTTTTAAGTTACATAACTATATATTTAAAAATATAATTACAAAAAAATATAAACATTTTTACTTATGATATTATTACATGCCGTGAAAAATAGCTTAAAATATAAATTTTATCAAAATTACCCTGAATTAATGGACATAGAATCCATCTCAATTACAGGAACAGGAGATGTTGACTAAAAACAATATAAAAAACTTTAAAAAATAATTAAAATCACTTTTTTATTATTAAAATATCATTAAAATCATTATGCAATGCAAACTTAAATGCTTCTAACTTATTCACAAAAATTGCACAAATATATTGATAAGACACCTGGATCTTGGATTGAGTAGGTAATGATGGAGAAACGGATGCTGGTAAAGTTGGCGAAATGCAAGTCAGTGAAGTTTTTCCTAAAACAAATATAAACATATTGTCTGGATGTTAAGTGTATAAAAAAATAGGAAAACTAAACAAATTTAGTTTAGAAATTCTAATTTTTGTACATATATCTTTAAAAGTTAACAATTTTTTGCAAGCCACTCAGAAATTGATCATAACTTCATTGAGAGACAAAAATAAAAGAAACTAAACAAAGAATTATAGTTACGATTTAATTATAAATTTTTGCCATGTTGTTTATAAACCCAATACTGCATATCAACCAAATATATTTATGTGTATATATTAGTGATGTACTGAATAATTGGCATGGGCTAAATTGGCCATTTTTTGCATAATCAGGATTGGTATCATTATTGGCCTTTTTTTTATCAATTTAACAATTTTCCAACTGATGCATTTTAATATTTTTATCCTGTATTATGATAATAATAAAATAACAAATAAACTAAACTTTGCATTACAGGCAAACTTGTTTAAGATGATGTTTATAAGCTTTAATTTAGTAGCTGAATGTACTTTTACTTTTATTACCATAATGTTGTTTTTAGAATAATTTTATTTTGCGTTGTTCTATTGTTACACATAAAAGTAACCTTTTTAAGCATTGCTAACTATGTGTTCAAGTATAGCCTTCTATATTTCTATATGATTGTTGTTTAGATATCTAAATTACTAATAAATTAATAAAGAATTCTAAGTAAATTGCTTATCTTAGTACCATTTTCTTTTTAAAATTGAAATAAAAAGTGTTTCTCTAAAATTATTTTATTTTTTTTAATTTTTTTTTTTTCATAGTAAAAAAACTAAAAAATTGTATATTTTTTTAACTGAGTTTTTCCAATATCTTTTAAAATAATGGTTTGAATCTGATGATTAAAAATCTAAAAACTAAACTTGAAAAATTTGAAATATAGTACTACACACACAAAAATTAATTTATAGAAGCTGGGGTGGTATCAGTAAAGCAAAATGATTTGTTACTAGAAGGTAGATAGAGTGGGGTGGTCTAAAAAAGTTAGAAAATGTGTGTATTTTGTGGACAATCTTATAATAGCATGGATTAGTGATTTCGTCGGTTATCCATTTCAAAAACCAGATAACAGTTCTCATCAATTTGCGGTTAACCGACTATTCGGTAAATTAGTGACGCTTTCTGAATACAGGATCTTCTAAATTTCAACGAACGTAGCGTTTTAAACTAATTTTTCAAAAATTAATGTTAAAGTGTACATTTTCAAGACAGTTAGTGAATACAGTCCTATATTATATATTTATAACAAAACATGGAAAAAGATATATATATTTTTTATATTATAATATAATATACCTTTTTAATTATATAATTAAAAAAGGTAGGAATAATGTACAAGTATAGTTTAAATGTTTTAATATCAGCAAATGTTTTAAAATCATTCTCTCATATAAAAACATTTGATTTGGAAAAATGAGATGTTATGAAGTAAATTTTTTTAGCGTGTATTTTAAAAACTCATTGTTATGCGGACATAGATAGAAACATAGATAAACTTGAATGTTCTTAAAACAACTTGTTGCGTAAAGATAATATAAAGAATATTTGCTAACACTAAAATACCGCCAAATCTACAAATAAACAAATTCTATTGGTTCAAAAAATATGCTGAATAAGCGAATTAGAGTTCCAGAATTTTCTGAAGAAACTTTCCTAAAAATGTATTGCTTGAGTTGTAAAAGTAATAAATAAATCTTTGAGATTTCTATTGTAAATTGTTATAAGAATATATTATTAAACAAAACTGATTAAATTAACATTTAAATTAATAAAAGAAATATATTATAATCTTTGATAAATTAACATTTGTCAAACAATAATCGCCATAATTACGATGTTACTTTCTATAAAATTTTGTAAAATTTTTAAGTCCGTTTTTATTATTCGAAAATAGATATTTGATATTCAAACAAAATTCGGTTAACCGCAAAACCGGATAACCGACGAAATCACTAGCATGGATTTTTTAACAACTTAGTTATAACTATAAATAATGTATTTATAGTAATAAAAATAGTTTATTATACACTATTTTACTATATAAATACTCTTGGTTTGAAATGCAAAACAATAATTTCTCAATTTCCTGTTTTTAATTGTGAGGGGGTGATGTCTGATCATTAGGCTTGTAAATCGAGCCAAGCTTGCCAGGGCTCGGCTCGCTTACATATTAAGAGTGTTCACGCTCAGCTCGAGCTCGTTTCGAACATGAGATTCTTTGTTCGAGCTCAGCTCGTTAAGGGTTAGTATTGTTTGGGCTCGGCTCGTTTTACATGTTGCTCGAGCTCGACTGGTTTAAAACTCAAAATAATTATTGTAACCTGTTAGTTTAAAGCTCGTTTAGTAAAAAAAATTGTTTGTTAAAAGCTCATCCGTAAATAATGCAAGTCCAAACAACAAACAACATAAACAACCCTACAGTCTATTAAACATGCAAATAAACAACATAATGAAATAAGATCCCACAAATCTATGTTAATATAAGTTATATGGGTCATATCTCTATATATGGGTCATATCATATATATATGGTTACACTAACACTATATCTTTATTATATACTAATCTGATAATATTAATACGCTAATTTAATATTATTAGTCGAATTACGTCATTTTCTAGGCTCTTCTATTTTAAAGTAGTTTCTAGGCTTTTCTATACACGGGTTTTTTTTAATTTACTAATAACGCGTATTACGGGTTGCTTACTGCTAGTATATATAATATCACAATTTTATTTAATACATATATATTATTATAATACAAATAAATATATACATATTTGAGCTTTAATTGAGCCTATATGAACGAGCCTATGATGTTCAAGCTTGGCTCGTTTAATAAACGAGCCTAATTTTTTGTTCAAGCCTGGTTTACCATTCGAGTCGAACATTACTAAGCTCTTGTTGAGCCGATCACAGAGCCATTCATGAACACAAGCAAGGATTTACAGCCCTACCGATCGTTAAATTGAGCACTGACTATTGCTGATAAAAAATGCTGAACTTTAACTCTTTATGTCCTCGTAATTAATAATTCTTAAGTTATATCCTTACTCCTGATCCATTCTCTACCTCTACATAAATTTTTTGTTTATTCTTATACCAATTACTGTTGTCATAGTTGGTTTAACTTTTCTAATGAGATCTCCTCCCTTATAGACAAGATCTGAAAAAGTATTTTATTTGTTGTTAAATGAGTGAACTTGAACACTTTTTTTATTCTCCTAATTATCTTTTTTTGTTTTCTTTCACAAGAAAAGAAAGTGCTGTAAACATTAAAATACCCTATAAGTGCCTATAAGTAATGATGACATCATGTGACTTGTGGCTGAACATTTTCTCCTTAGAATTTACTATTATCTATCAAAATGCCAAATCTATCACAATGGCAAAGCATTGTTTACTAAGAGTTTCACTATCAATTTTATTGGGAAAACTGCACAGACAGAGAAAAAAATACACGAAAGAAAAAGCTTTGCATGATGCTGTTCATTTGTGATCATTACAATAAAGCTACTCTTTTTATAAAACAGCACAATGACTTTGAAAAGTATACTAGCATTATGTTATAAATTATCTATCCTTAACCTTGAGCTGCTTGTTAATCAAGTTGCAAGAAAGATTTGTCATAAGATTTTCTTTATGGAAAAACATATTTTGAATGGCTTTCTATTAGTTTACCCTTATTTTAATTATTGCTAAAATTTCATTCAATTAACAACAAATTATCAAATTAATGTTCAACTAACAAGAAATTTTATTTATGAGTTTTTTTACAACTTTTCTTTGAGTATAGGAAACTTGACCTTTGGCATAAATATATATTTTTAGTTGGATAATATAATTTATATAAATGAACAATATAAATATAAAACTAAATTAATTAAAAAAATAGGAATTTTAAAAACAGATATAAAACAAGTTTTAACCTGCAACAAAAAATTGTTTTTAACTACACCATGATTTCTTAAAACTGACCTGGAGTTTGTTGCTCTGGTAAATTTGTACTAAGTTGCTTAGAGAGTTGATGAGCTAAAATGCCATGCCCATTTGCTGTACCGTGTACTACAGGCACTGATACTTTTATGTCAGGTTGTGAATGTCCATTCTAAAATAAATAAAATACAACTTTCAATAGTTTTAATACTTTCAATACTTAAGCTGAATACTTAGAAAAACGTCAGATAATTTAAATCTTTTATTATGTTGATGTTATGTTGATTTGTGGAATTTGTTTTGTCATTGTCAAAAAAACTTTTTTTAATAAAATAAAATAAATCATCACCCACCAAATTCGATAAATTTTCAGCTGGTTTAATTTCAGATGGAGTGGATGAGTGCCCATTCTAAATTATAAATAAGCCTTTAATTTTAATTTCAATTATTTTATATTATCAGTACCTTTCGATTTTAATCCACAGATAAAAATTTTTACCACTTTACTTGTAAGAACATTCGAATTAGTATCAGTTGTGATGGCAACCGGTTTAATTTCTGATAGAGATGATGAATTACCATTCTAAATTTAAAGAAAATAATAAAAACTTTTATAGTTAAAAATAAAAAAAATTCATTTTATTTTTAATTTATAAACTGTACTTTATATCTCATAACCTGCACATGTTGAAATTTTATTTAAAACAACTACATCTAAACTATTTGTTTTATTTAACTCAGGTTGTTTACAAAAATAGTTCAATTTTCACTTAATTTTGCCACTTTCCACCTAATAATATCTAAATTATAAAAACCATTGGTCTAATAGAACTAATGAACTATGATGCAAATATGCATAAAAATAGAAACTAATAAAGATTTTTACATACATGACAACAGTTATAATATTAGACTACATATCATTTCTAATCTTATTATATAAACAAATTATTATGTTTCTATAATAATGATATTAAAGTTCTTTTTATTCAAAAATTCAAAATGATTAAAACCTAATTTTATAACATACACGCACTTTCATTAACATGAAATACTAATGATCTATAATGATTTGATTAGATTCAAACTGAATAGAACAAATGATACATGTTTTAATAGAAATACAAGTCTAAAAAATATATAAAACACTGATAATATACCAAATAAATATAAAAACAAAAATTATACAAATCAAAAACAAAAAATAACATAGCATAGATTAGAAAAAAATCTTTAAAATGTATTGATTTAATTTTTGTTTTTGAGCTCTTGATACTTTTGACATTATCTTTTGGCAAGTTATTACAAATATTAAGAGTTTTAAGGAAGAAAAAAAAATTACTTATTTAAATTTAGTCGGTGTAACTTAAACCTTAACTTGAATCTGCTAATCTAATGACGGAAATGAAAGCAAGTTCAAAAATTCTTAAAATTCATAAATCATTTTTATTTATGAAAAATATTATCATGCATTTTTTTTTTGATGTGCAGTTTTCTGCATCCATAAAATAGTATAGCATGGCGTGTGTGTATGTTGAACAAATTCTTAAGAAAATTTGCTTATGTATTATGTAAATTTGTTAAATTTGCAATTTCAAAATTTTAAGTGCATTAGTTTAAAAAGTTATTGAAAGCTTTTACAACCTTGATCTTTACTAATGTTTTTTCAATTATTAAAATGCTTTTACAACCTTGATCTTTACTAATTTTAATTATTAAAATGCTTTTAAAAGCACTGCATTGTCAATGATTTTTTATATCAAGTATTTTTATATAAAGTATAAATATAATACATAGTTTGTTTTTTTAAATTTATATATAATTATGTATATTTATTAAAAAAAAAAATTTTAGGATAAACTTTAATCTTGAATAAAATAAAATAAATATTAAATAAATGCATGTTTAAGCAAGCCATGATATGGTTTTAAAAAAAGTTGATTTTATTTTTAATGTGTTTTTATTTACAAGCGTGTGTTTACGTGGAAACTTATTATTTTTGAATAGTAATTAAACTATTTTAAGTAAATTCTGGATTCTTAAAAGGAATTTATGAAATGCTCAAATTCTAAATATAGTGAGCGATAACATGGCTTCCTAACCAATCCTGTGTTAAAACCTTATCTTTATCAAACTTGTGGCTCATATTTCTAGAACTAATTTCTGAATTAGTTGTAAGGTTTTTAAGTTTATTTTTACTATTTGGAAATTGAAAAGAGTGCCATCCAAACAGTGTTTATAAGGCCATATTTTTAAAACTGTTACACTTTAGAGCCTGAAATTGCAAATTTAATCTATTTACACAATGGAGATAATGTAAAATTAGGAAATTAGAAATGGAGCCACACAAAGTTTTGATTTTAAACAAAGTATTTTAGTTTTGAATTGGTTGTATTATAATAAACTGACCCTATATATTCATTTTAACAATAGCTCAACTATTATTTCATCAACCAAGTTGATGACAAGGCCAGTAATTTGCAGTTGAGGATTTTGTATATAAACAGTCACCATCTCACAAAAAAAAAGGGAGTGTTCATACTTTATAGGGCAAATTTTAGCATGAAAGAATATTTTTAAGGTTTTATTTTATAAATTGAGAGCAGATTAACAAATCTCTATTCAATAACTAACTTTAGGCATTTTTATTTGAAAGTCTATAAAAATTCCAGCTTTAAGATCATGTTAATATGAATTTTATCATTATATTTAAGTTGCAATATAACTGATTTTATAAAATTAACTTAACTCATCTCTCATCTCGAATCTCATAACCTACTTTCTGATCATCAGTATGGATTTCGATCTTCTCATTCTACGGCTGATTTGCTATCAGTAATAACCAATAGGTTTTATCGCGCATTAGATAAAGGTGGAGAGGTTAAGGCCATTGCTCTTGACATTTCTAAAGCGTTTGATAAAGTTTGACATGCTGGTCTCCTCCATAAGCTTTCTTCTTATGGTGTATCTGGAAACACCTTTAAGATTATTGAATCCTTCCTTTCCAATCGTAGTATAAAAGTTGTCCTTGATGGACAGCACTCTTCATCTTATTCTGTAAGGGGTTCCCCAAGGTTCAATCCTTGGCCCTACTCTCTTTTTAATTTACATTAACAATCTTCCAGATATTCTCACATCTAAAGTGGCATTGTTCGCTGATGATACTACCATTTATTCTTGTCACGATAAGAAGCCAACTCCCTCTGATTGCTTGCAGGGGGCATCTGAGCTCGAAAAGGATCTCACTTCTGCTACAGCATGGGGCTCGCAGTGGCTGGTGAACTTTAATTCAGATAAAACTCAATTTTTTTCGGCCAATCGTTATCGCAATAATTTAGACCTTCCTATATTTATGAATGGTAATGTACTCGATGAGTCTCCTACCCTTCATCTTCTAGGATTAACTCTTACTTCTGATCTTTATTGGAAACCTTATATCAAATCCGTTGCAAAATTAGCATCTGCTAAACTTGCTTCTCTTTATCGAGCTCGCCACTTTCTTACTCTGGATTCTATTCTCTATCTCTATAAATCTCAAATCCGGCCTTGTATGGAATACTGTTGCCATATCTGGGGCGGATCTTCTAATGATGCCCTTTCTCTTTTAGACAAGGTGCAAAAACGCATTGTAAACATAGTTGGACCTGCTCTTGCAGCAACCTTCAACCTCTGTCACATCGTTGTAATGTTGCTTCTTTTTCTCTTTTCTACAAATACTATAATGGGCACTGCTCTAAAGAGCTAGCGTCTCTAGTGCCATCTACTAAAATTCATTCTCGTGTTACTCGTCATTCAATTAAGTCTCATCCTTTTTCTGTTACTGTTCCTAAGTGCTCCAAAAACTCTTATTCGTCTAGTTTTTTTCCTCGAACATCAGTTCTTTGGAATTCGCTTCCTTCATCTTGCTCTCCTGATTCATATAATTTGCAATATTTTAAGTCGTCTGTCAATCGTTATCTTGCTCTACAATCTTCATCTTTTCTTTTCCAGTAACTTCCAACACTAATAAGTGGTTGCTTGCAACCTTGTTGGAAGCGAAGATAATTAAAAAAAACAAACTCAATAATTGTAAGTTTTTTAGTTTGATTTATACAAATTTGATTTGAGGCGACTGAGACATCCAAATGGCTTTTTTATAACAAATTTTATAAATAAATAGTTAAAGAAAAAACATAAAATAAAAAAAAAAACATAAAATAAAAAAAAAAACATAAAATAAAAGACAGTGAGGAAAAGAAAAAGAAAAAAACATAAACAAAAAATTAAAAACCAAATCAAATAAAACAAAAGAAAAAAAAAAAGAGAAAAGAAAAAAAAAAGACAAAAAACTAAAGTGTAAAGAAAAGAAAATTTGAAAATGGAAATTAAAAAGAATTAAAAGTTAAAAATTGCTCTGTTTTTGAAGAAAGGAAAAAGAAAATTTTTTAAACTTAATTTTGAGGGATATGTTTGCTGGGTATTATGATATGATTGTTATGAATTATTAAGCTTTTTGAAAATATGTTTATCTTCCAGATAAATTATGTCATCAGTATGGAAATTTGCTGCCCAGCATAAAATTCAAGAGATGTTGAAGGCATCTGTAATAGATGTGGTTCTGTTGTAACATGATTCGGTGGATCCACAACTACTTTGCGGAATCATATTTTGTGTCATGAAATTACTATAAATAGTCTTGACTGGATCAAGCAGCTCAAATTCACAACCAGTGATGAAACAAGAAATTATTGAAACTCAAAAATGACAAATGAAAAAATTTAAATGACAAATTATTAGATCAGCTTGAGGCACGATGAATACACAACTAAGAGACACTAAAGGTATTTTGGTGTCAACCTGGATAAAAGTGAATATAAGCCAATAAATCTTATAAAACTGACCTCATTAGGATTTATGGTTTCTCTCCAGCTGAAAATTTAATACAAAACATTTAGGATCATATTAATTCATTTTGTGTCTGTATAGAAAGAGATGTAGTAGGTTATACTCAAGATGATGCAGGATTCCAAAAAGAGCTCATGCAATTAACAGATATTGTTGATCAGTTTTGCTTTTATCATGCAATTTATCTTGGTGTATGCAACACATTATACAAAAAAAAAAAGACACAAATGTACCAATTCCCAAGAAAAACGGACAGGTGTTCAGAAGAGGATAAACATGGAACTTACGATAGTTATTTTAGTTTTGAATCAGTAAACAATACAATTAATGTCGACTACCCTGAAATATTGATAAATGCACAAAAAAAAAAGCGATTTCATGAGTTTGTAAGCAAATTCTTCAGAAGAAAGTTACTGAGGAATTAGTTAAAAAAATTGAACTGCATCTGGATTTGTCATTGTTGGAATTCACTTTTTTCAATGACTGCACCTTTATTAAAAAATAAGATATGTTTATTCCAGATATTTACTAAATAAAATGCTCTTGATGTAATCAACAAGCTAGATTTTGAGTCATTACATTACATGCCACTTCGGAGCCAGCAAAACTAGCCGTGGAAGTCCTTAGCAGAGAATATGCTACATTATTCATGGCAGATATTGTTCTTAAATGCATGCATGTAAAACTATTTGCTATGAATATAGAAACCACATTTTAAATGAATTCAAATTTAAAAAAGGGCGTGATGAAAGAATTAACAAAAATGTTATGCAGTTGTTAAGGTGCCTAAAAGATCCTTCAATTGTTCCATCAAAAAATACTTTAAATTTAGCTGGAAACTGGAACTTATGCTTAAATTTTTGAATTTACTTTTAATGAGAAACCACTATTAGCTGAAGCACCATGTACAACATCGGAAAGTTCACCTGTTTTTCTTAAGGATGAACTAAATGTACTCCTCAGCAAAGATAGCATCAAACACTTACCCAAATCTACTGATCAATTCTTTAACAAGAGTTTTTGTTGCACCAAAATAGGGGCAAAAAAATATATATATATATATTTTTTGAAAAAAATTTACTATGCGATTCTCTCTATAAAACCCGCATCAACAGTTTGCCATCAACAGATGTCAAACAAATTGCACTAATTTCTGCACAAAAATCAGATCACAATAATACCTGATGGATTGTTAAAATCTTTTTTTTGGAAACTTTACTATTAACTATATATCACATGTTAGCTTAATAAAAGTAATGTTTAACTGTTTTAATATTTATTAAATTAATGATGTTTTTAAATCAATTTTAATAAATTTTTTATATAAATTCATATCATTTTATTATTTATGTTTTATTGATAAAACATTGTTAGATCTTTCAAACTATTCTACAAAACATAAAATTCTTGATTCTTAAAAATAATTATAAACACATAAAGATTATAAAAAAACAAACTTTATAATACATAACGGTTTTAGCAAACATTTTTATAAAATTAAATTAAGTTTAAAATGTTAATTACTTACAAATATTTATTAAAAATATCTGATTAAATAATTTTTTAGAAATTTTATTAAAGCATTTGCTAAAAATGTTTTGTTTCAATATAACTTTTAAGATACTATAAAGTTTTGTTATAATTATTTTGAACTAACAACTTAATACATCAGGGCTCGAATTAAGTGATCGCGAATTGCGATTTCTGGAAATGCTTCCGGTTTTTAAAATTTTAGCTTTTTAAAAACCGTAAAACTGTTTTATCACTAAACTCAATAGATATCATTTAATAAAAAATATTTACGTCGATTATGATATAAAATCTTAATGTAAAACCATATTATCACTATTATTAAAGATTATAATTTAAACTTTAATATTTTAATTTATTTTATAAATCATCAGACAACACTAGAAAAATAAAGCACGTTTAAGTACGATATAAATATTAAAAAAAATAAGCTCTAATCACAACAATCTAAGGAACTTTAACAGTGATCGAATATTTTAAATAAAAGAAATTGTTAATTAAGATATAAAATACTTTTATATGTTATTTAAATCTCATTCAATATTTTCTTATAAATTTAACGCTTGTAACACTTTAGCTGAAAAGAATATAAAATTAAAAGACGTAGGAGTTTATATATAAAAACTAATTTAATTTTTTTAATAGTTACTTTAAAACAAAAAAAAAGAAACTCTAATGACATATTTTAAAAATATATATTTTATAATTATTTATTTTTTCTTAAATAATTAAATTCTAATTCAAAACATTTAAATTTTTAAATAAATAATGCCATAAGCTTTCCCCCTAAATAAAAATCTATTTTAATGTTTTATATAATGCGCAAGTAGCTTTAGCATACTTTTTTATTGGTTGTTTTTTTCTACAAAGTTTTATACAATGCACAAATAGCTTTATATACACATTATACACAAATAGCTTAATATACAATGCACAAATAGCTTAAACATAAGCTTAGGCATAGCTTTTAATTAGTTGATTTTTAAATTACCGCGAAAGTTTTTTGGGTAAAAAAATTATTATTACCTTTAGTAATAATAATTTTTGCCTTGCAATTATAATCCTTTATTTTATTATAATATTCATTTATAATCCTCAAGTCACATATTATTAATTATTGCTTAAAAAAACAACAACTAATAATATGTAAATTTTGACTGTTATTATTTTTGCAGTAGTAAATTTATTGTTTTGCTTTTTCATTAATTTTTGCAATAAGATAAACTGATTGTTTCATTAACACAGTGTTTTCGGTTTTTTTTTTAAATAAGAATTTAATGACCACAGATATTTCCGGATATTGCAATTCGCGATCACTTAATTCAAGCCCTGTACATACTGCTAACTTAAAAGAACAAAAATTTTTTTGATTCTACTTATTTTTGTTATTACCTTAAACTTCTTCTCAATAATCAAAATCTCTTTAAAATTTAAATAATAGTAACATATATTAAACGTTTTAAAAGATAAGTTTTAAAGTCATTTTTTTCAAATGCAATTAAAAAGCGTAACAAAAATATTTTTTACTTCGAGTTTTTTTAGTTTTATTTTTAAGTTAATTTTTTGGATATGCTGGAACAGTTGGTTTATTGTTGACAAAATAAAGTTAGACAATAATTTACATCAATAAAAAAATTAGTTTAAAATTGCATAACAATTATACATATGTATATATATATATATATATATATATATATATATATATATATATATATATATATATATATATATATATATATATATATATATATATATATATATATATACACACACTTTTTTTAACATTATGTAAACTAAACTATAAAATTAAACAAATTTTTTCTTTAACAAAAACATATGTAAATATATAAAATAAACAAGTAATAGTTTCACCCTCCGTAACTGTTAAGAAAAGTGCAAATTTATACTCTCAGTACTAAGTTAGCAAGCTCTACTTATTGTGCCCGGAAGTCATAAAAGATTTTTACAGAGTGATTGCTCCTGCTTTATAATAAGGCCTGAAATATCTCCTATTTTCTAAAACAGATCTGCCCCTGTTTTTAAAACTTTTTATTGATCCTCACAAGAAACCCTGTTATATTTATAATATCAAAACTTAAATAAATTTAGAGGGGCCACCAAGGTGACTAATGGAACTTAACTCAGACTTAAGGTGCACTTTAAGTCTGAATTTTACAAAAGAAATGTCCAATGGTTTTGTCAAAAGAGACAAAACCATTGGAAAATTTTAAAATTTATTTTATTCAAAAATAATTATTTCACACTAGGAAATATAGTATAAAATAATTATTGCAATTATTTAATGCAACTAGGGCACCTGTTGCACTAATTTTTAGCAACCACTTATATATTTAAATTTTATTAATTTTAAAAAGTGGAGCAAAAAAGTAACGAATGAAAGTAAGTTTAGAAGTATGTTAATTGCTATAAATTGAAAAATTTCAAGTTAAAAAAATTTCATTAAAGAATTTCTTTATAAACTATATTGAAAAAATAATACAATCTTTACACTGCCATCTCAACAAGATTAAGGAATCAGGAAATTAGTGACATGAGTGTTTATGTTATAGACTTTAATGCATAAAAATCATTTTTTATTAAAAGGAAAGAAATTTATCTTTATGGTTTTTGTGATGCAACTTGTTTTATTATAACTCTGAAATACAACGAACAAGACTGCTGAGTGTTATAACAAGTTGATCCAGGTACTAGCAGAAACATGATAGACATCAACATCATTACTGCTTGCCTTGAAGTAAGCATTATATGTTAAATGATATACAAAAATAATTCCTAACATAGCGGCTATACTATGCTTACTAAAAAACCTTTAAATCAAATAGTAATATTACAATTACTATTTGATCTGTTTGATGAAATATGAAAAAAATTACCTGAACAGGTTGTCCTGGTATCTTCATAGGTGTTTCCAGGGCCTTTAAAAAAAGAAAAATTACTTTAAAAAAAAAAAAATTAAGTTAGAAATATACATTCTTTTACTTCTTTTGAATCCTATTATAAATGTATAAAAGTATATATCAAAATAATATTAAAATAAAAAAGGCATCAATATTCACTCTAAGTTAGATAACTCAACACAACCTACACATACATATTTTGAATCTTGATTTATACATCTTGTGTTTGATACACACCTCCCACTTATAATATTGCTTAATACAATTATAATCAAATCATAATTATATTAAGCAATATAAATATGATTTGATTAAATTTATTGATAATACGATTTGTATAATGAAATAACTTGCTTCTCTAACATATTTAAAACAAAAAAAAAGCTTAACTGAGATGTAAAACAAAAATTAGCAATGCTGACATATTATTGATTACAATTATTGATGAACAAGAACGAAATATAATTAGAAAACAAAACTATAATATTACAGAGTGGACATTTAGAGACTAATGTTGGTTTAATCAGTTTATGACACATTTTATTAAATATCCAGGTTATCTTGATTTTCATTTACAAAATATTTTAATACATCTATTCAAATAAATCTTGACATTTTGAATTGAATTTACCAGTATACAATATATTTACAATGAAAAATTATCATACCAATATGCATTTAAGTCTTGTTTTTCAGTCTTTAAGTAAATATATATAACAAAAAAACAGGTTAAACTAAGCAAAAATTAAAACTTAACAAGGATTTATCAGGGTGGCCACTCAAATTTGAAAAACCATGACTTGTATAATGAATCACTAGAGTTCAGTACTTGTTGCGCACTTACCCATCGCCACGTGGTCACTAAAAAATATGCAGATTAAAAACTAATTGTCAGAAAATTCTGAAATCATGTCTGAAAAAAAAACTCAGATGTTTGCATTATAAGTGACAAAAGCTTAACAACTATAACTTAAAAATAAAGGTACATGATCTTTAGGAGATCAAGTAACGACGATATGAATGCATGGGGATTACTAGGTATTTTTAATTAAAAACTATTGCGCAGATAAAAAATTATGCATTTTAACTTTTTAAAAACTTTTTTTAGAAAAAGGTTTTTCTAACAAGATGCTCATTATTTTACAAAAACAAATAATAAAAACAATCTTTATTATATAATCCAATGAATAAATATATAACAGTTAAACCCATATAAAATAGAGTATAATTGCTAACATAACTTTATTCTAAACAGTTTAGGTTTCTGAATAACAAATATAAACCAAAACTTTTTTTAGAGCAAGAACTATTGATATGAATCTTTTATTTGAATGGTTAAAGTAACAAGGTTATTCCATGTCAAACCATTTAATGGTCCCCATTTAGTGGTTTGACAAACCACCTCAGATTTGCTTCAAACTTTGACCACCCACAGATTTTATGAAAAAAATACAAACCTGAAAATTTTAGCTTGATTGGCTAAACTGTTCAAAAGTCAGTGGTGTACCCTCATGGTCATCCGGTGGCATGGGACCACTCATTTTCTTCAAGGGTGACTGAAATTTAAGAAAAAAAATGTCTGGCAGTACCCCGGCAGGACGACCAGACCGCTCGTTACTTATAAGAGTGTTTTTATTAATAAAAATATATATTTTAATTAAAGTAGGAAAGCATTTGGAGAAGTGGATATTCAAATAATATTTAAAACTTTTTAAGGAACTAAAACAACTTGATAAAAACTTACTGTATAAAAAATTAGCATTATAAAAAACGTTACAAATGGTCCGCAAAAATTTTGAAATCAACTAATAAAAGCTTTTAATTGGTTAATTTTAAAAATCAATGCGTATTTTTTTGGACTATTAGTAACGTTTATGACAAACTTTTTATAAAGTTGTTGAAGTAATTGTAAAAGTTGGAAAGACTTTAATAATATTTGAATCTTTTAATCATTGATCTTTTCTAAAGTTTTTTATTTTACGCAAAGGCTTTAAACAAAACCATAAAATTAATTATAGTTATTGTTTACATAAACGCTTGTGTAAATTAATAAAAAACATAAAAAAGTTTTTTTTAAGTAGGCATTTATTTTTTATGATAAATTTAAACGTTTGAAACTATTTTCTTATGTCTTCCTAAAACATTTTTAAACCATTATTTTTAGAAAGAATTTTTTCAAGTTACTTTAATTTGTATATAAGTTCAAAAGCTTCTGTGACTACTAACTTTTACATATTTTATGTGAATTACACAAGAATATAAAATAACTTTATTTACTTATATAAGCATGTATTTTGTTGATTTAATGAAAAAGTTTTAAAGCATTTTGTAATGTTCATACAATTAATTTTTATGATTAAACTTATGATTTTTTTAAATGTTTTAAATAAACATTTTATTTTTTGTAAACCATTTTATTTTATTTACTTTTTTTCAATTTCATTAGAAATGAACAAGATTAAATTTTTTAGATTAAATAGAGTTACATGCTCAAATTAAAATTAAATTAAAAAGCTTGTTAGCAGTTAATTTTATTTAAATCGCAAGCACATTTTATTTATTTTTAATTTTTTTGAATAAAAAAGTTTAAAACCTTTTTTTACTAATTAGACTCACTAATTAGAGCATGAAATTAGTAAAAATTACTATTTTAAAAAGACTTTTTTAATTATTTTTTAAACAATTTTTTTTTTGCAACTTTTTTGACAAAATAAATGTTTATACAATTTAAAAATATTATATAAAACACTTTTTGATAAATTTAATAAAATTTGTTCTTTTATTAAACCAATCATAAGTAGTAATTTGTTACTTAATTTAAAAATGTTTCACATAACTTTAATAATGCTTAAGCTTTAATAACGTTTATTTCATACGTAATTAAAAACGTAACAAAACGTTTTGCTTCAAGTTTAAGTTTTTATTTTCATTTTAGTGCTTATATAATTTCTTTTTCATCATAAATTTGTTTTTTGTTTCTTTTTTTGTTAGGAATTTTTTTTTAAGTTTGTTTTTTATTTAATTTTTTTCCGAGTTTAAGTTTAGCTTAGCGTTTCTACATTCAGAACATTTCTGAAATTTTTAACCCATCAAAACATATTAACACACTTTATTAAACAATCGTGGTCAAGTTGTCAAAAAATAAAATCATTAGTGTGGTCAGCAATAGCGCGCGATCGCATGCCATTCCTGTCCAAGCATGGTTTATTATACCTCTTTGCTAAATAATGTCAACTTGATAGAAAAAGACCATTTAAATTTTAAACCTAGTAAATACATTGCATTACTTTACAATGACTAATGGTACATAGGGTTTGTGCTTGACATTTGTAATCAAAACCAAGGTGTTAATGAAAAGTTTATGCATAGAAGCATATAAATTTAAAAGGACTAAGGATGCACAATTATGTTAGTCTTTTGTCTATTTGACAAAGTAACATGTCAAATTAGTGATCCATCCATTAAGTGCTTGTGACTACAATCTTGCTTGTAATGATTATTACGGTATTATAAGTTATTTAAATCAGAGATAATGTAATTGGTGCACTGTTGTTTCATGTGTATATACACTTTTTTCAGCATTACTTTGTATTATATTTTAACTTTTTTGCAACTAATGTAACTTGCGTTATTTTTTAGATCTTCTTTTAAACTAAAAAACCATCACACTCCAAAGGCTAAAATTATGTCATAAAATAGAGTATAAGTCTTAAATTTTTTTTTGGGTTATTATAGAATATATAGAACTTCTACAGTAAAAAGTTTCAACCCACAACAGACTTGGTCAGGAAGTCTAAAAGATTGTATTATTTGAGATCTAACGTAAATTGTTATAAGAATAGGTTATCAAACAAACTATTATTTTAATACTATTGTTCATTCACGGAGCCACATCTACAAGCCATAAGCGTTTTAAACTTTTATTAATTGTTTACAAAAATAGAATTTTTATATATTTTTTATATTAACAAAGTTTTGTAAAGTTTATTATATATAATAGATTTTTGTTGTATATTATTACTTTTTAATATAAAAAGATTGTATTTTTTTAAGTAAATGTAATTTGATTTATGTGTTTCACATGTCAATGTATTTCTTTTAAAGCAATTTGTACAATTGATTTTGTAAACAAAAAGACTTTCAACCACAACTGGGTTATCAATGAAATTATTAATAATCATCAAAGTTGATTAAACCAATTATGAATAAATATATAAGAAAAAACTTTTCAAACTATGCAAAACAGTCATTAACAATATATTAACTTTTTTTCTTAATTAAACAATTCCACTAGCGTTAGTTTTATTAGAATCTTGTTGAAATAAGACAAAATTATATAAATAAAAGAAATTACATTATATTCTTTGATAAATAGAAGAACATTTATTTCTTTATTAAACAATCATTAATAGCAAGTTGTTACTTTATATAAATGTCGCATAATTTTATCAAAAAAATAAAAAAGCAAAGTTAAGAAAGTAGTAATTTTAAACGTAATTTATTTTTTTTCAATTTTTGTTTTGTTTTTATTTTTAGTTATATATTATTTAACGTTCAATGTTTGTACCGCGTAGTTTTTTTTTAAAACCATTTACTCTTTGCTTCATGCAAATTTTGATATAAAAATTGAGCAAAATATGTTTGCAATTCTAAACTGCCTTTTTATTCTAAAAAAACCTCACTTATGAAATTATACGGTACAGGCCTGCTTTCTTAGTAAAGTTTTTATTGTAATTGTCTATCGTTGGAACAGTTGATCTTTCTTAGCTCGATCTTTCGTTGGTCTTTAAGAAGATCTAGAACCTTTCAGTTGGTATTTGGTCCATCCATAAAGAGCTGAAGCAAGTTTTTTGCTGGCAATTACTCTAATGTTTCATTTATTTTATGGGGTTAAATTATTACTATTGGATCAATTTAAAATTTTGTATCCAAATAACGAGTTTCAACCACACTTAAGAATTTATCATAATAACAAATTAGAATACCCATCTGTTCCTATACGATTAGTATATGATTCATAGACTCATCATAGGAGTCTACAAAAAATGGCAACAGCTAAACTTTAAATTAATGCATTTTAAAAATAAGGATACATTCGTAAGTTTATTAAATAGTCACACTCATTGAAAAAACTTTAACAATTTTGCTATCTGTAAATATAACTTTAAACAACTCACTTAAACCAGTACATGATCTAAGTAAATAGTATGATTACATGTGTCATTACATGATCTAAGTGAATACTGCTATTATCATTCATATAAATTATATGAATAAAACCTAAATTTGTTTTATCTAAATAAATTAGTAGGTCAAATACAAGAAGTTAAATTAGTATTAAATAAGAACTAGAGGTGGTTGGTAGTTATATCAAAATATACTCATAAGTGAGTATAAATGTGTACCTTAGAATTTAACACCCCTCCCCCCCACTCCTGTTTTTATGATTGATTATAATAGAATACATTATACTGATTTAGAATCATATAAAAACATAGGTTTAAAAACTTAAGAAAGGTATTCTAATTTGGTGTTAAGATATATAAAATTAAACTAAAAAAGCTAATTTTGTCATCTTTTTCATACTTGGTTATGTTTAAATTCCTGGTTTCTGACACTTAAATATCTAATTGATCTCTAAACCTGACACTTTAAAGTAAAGCTGACACTTTAAAGTAAAGATCTAATTGATCTCTGACATTAACCCTAACCAAAACCAATCCTTATTCACCAGACGATGAATGCACATTTATTAGCACCAGTTGCTATTCGTCAGTCAATGTATTTACATCTATAATTTATTTATATCTAATTTAATGCATATTTATAGTATAAATGTGCATTAAATTAGATATAAATAAATTTAAATTTTGACGACAATAACAACTGAATCATATAATTAAAGAAAAAATTTCTAAATTATTGATTTCAAAATGAAAACTATTAGAATATTTTTTAAAAAATGACAAATAATTTTTTTTTTAATTAGTGCATTTTTTGCGTGATTTTTTATACTTTTACATCAAATTAGAGTATTTTCCTTAAGTTTTCAGTTTTTATATGATTCTGAATCACTATAATATATTCTATTATAATCATAAAATATGGTAGGGAAGAAAAAGTCAAGTCTTGCTGATCCTATCGACATCAGTAACATGTCCCTTAACAATGAATATAAATAAAGACATAAGTCGATTAGACATTGGTAGAAAACCTTATTGGGCTTCGATTTTCACAGACTATATATTGCATTCAACTACAATTAAAGCAAACATACATCTCAGACTTATTTTATAGTTTTATAGAAATTGAGAAATACGCAGATTTTTGTAAAATATACTAACAATCGGCACAATACCTAAACTAGTTAGAACTAACTTTCATTCTGCTTGATTTCAATATTTTGCACAAAACTATGAGAGCAAAACTCTTATTAACACTTACCTTTAAGAGCAAGGCTCCTCTGCCACCTCTACCAAGCCCAGACATACTTAAAACGCGTGGAAACTAAAATATATTTTTAAATCTTATACATATCCTTCATCTATATTAAAAGTTGTTATCTTCAAAATCCTTTAAAGTCTACTCAAGTGATTTTTTTAAAAGTCGGCGATATTTTCATACTCAACGCGTGCACACGTGCTGTGACGTTATAAATTTCGATAAGGTATTTAGTTACCAGGTTATTTATAATTGCAAAACCTATTTGACTTCAACCGCAAAACCGAGTAACAAATTTACAAATTTGAATCCAAAACCGAGTCAAATTTGAAAAGAGTTCTTTTTTCACTACTTGCAGAACCAATTGACTGCAACCGGTTGCAGTTGCAACAGTTTTAAGATGCAAAGAGTTGTATATAGTTAAAAATACGATTGCAAACTATATACTATTATATATATATATATATATATATATATATATATATATATATATATATATATATATATATATATATATATATATATTATATATATATATATATATATATATATATATATATATATATATATATATATATATAAATCTTTTATATGTATATATATATATATAAAAGATTTGACCACTCATAATTATTATAAATTCACCAAAAAGATGCGACCACTCATAATTGTTAAGGGTAATTACTAATAAGTGCAAAATATGCGTGCAGGCAACACACTAACAATCATGCGTTGCGTGGGTGATTGCGTAGTTATCAAACAATAGGAAAATACCATATATGCTTTATGTACATTAAAATTATGTTTTATTCACTCATTAATATCATATAGTATGGTCACAACATCACTTGCTAAACTTGCACAAGTACAACTTTTAATGGAAGACAGCAAATCTAAATAAATTATTGCTGCTTGTTTGATGATGCTGAAGACTACTACTTATGATCTCATCGCATCAAGTAAACAGATGACTTTATTTTTTACCGTAAATCTATTCAAACCGTAAAATCTAATGTAAATACAAAAAGCAGGGGCAAGAAAAAGCCATAGTTTTTCTTATCACCAAGCTCGTTAATCTATACCGTTTACATAAAATAACATAAATAAATAAATCGTAACACCATATAGTAAAAAAAATTTTGTTATTTACTTTTTAAATTAAAGTTCTACTTTAACTTAATTAAACAAACTTTTAAACTTTTTTGTTTTTTAAGTTTTACATAGGAAATAAATGAATTTTGAATACAAAGATCTTTAGTATATAAAAAACTATATTTTTAAAAAGCATGCAGGAATATACGCATAATCTTAATGCTTTTCTTTAAATCAATATATACCTTAAAATATTTCGTCTACATTTGGTGTACACGGCATAATTTTTATAAATCATTAGTTTTTATTAAAGAAAAATCGAATCAATAAAAAGTGAAATGATCGTTTCTAACTTTATTTGCCAAGTTGATAATGACAAACCTCTAAACGTTGGGTAAGATTATCAGTAGCGATGAACTAAGTGCTGGGTAAAATACCTTATAAAAGTACTTAAAATACAAATATTGAAACAAAAAAGTATTTAAGTAAAAATACAAATACAAATACTTAAAAAGTATTTAAATTGAAAATTTTTTTGGAAAAGTATTTTAAATATTTTTAAGTATTTTAAACCCTGAAAAAATACTTTACGACTTTTAAAACTTACAACTAAAAAATACGCCATTTACACACTCTCCTTGCTCAAGAGTAGTCATTAGTCATTTATACTACATTTATATTTAAATATCATTCATTCAGCCATTCTCATTTGTTTTTAACAGCACCAGTCATTCGAACATTATATCACTTAGACAATTACACATAGGTGTTTTTATTTGTCCCGCTATGCTAAACAGTCGTTCAACTGTAGCCGACGATGGTAAAGTGATATTGAATATGACAAACAATGACCGAACAGTCTTATACTTATTCAGATCATTCAAACTTGTACTTTTATTATTCAAATACAACATGCATTCTTGCTGAGCACTATTTGCTGCACCAGCATTTGGAATTTCATCATTATATGCAACAAAATTTTTAATTGCAACAAAATTTTTAATTAATTTTAATAATATATAATTTTTTTTGTGCTGTCAGTGTTTAAATTGAGATTGGTCGCTGTCAACGGTTCACAGGTACCTAGTTTGGCATTTGCAAATATTTCTCTGCAGATAGCTCTTTTATTTGTTGGCATACACCGTAACTTAAACACTGTGCGCAAAACTGCTGCAACAACTCTGTTTGAATTACTCACATCAAATCTCAGTTCCTTTTCAAAACGAATTTTCATGCTTGCTAACAACTCTGCAGCAAATAATTTAGCATATTTTAACTGGCAAGTTTGATTTCACCTGTAAGCTATGCAAATGTGGAAACACACGGTCATAATACAATTTATCCCCTTGCAAAGTATCCAATGTTGTAGCAACAGGTTTCATGACCAAGGAATATTCTTGCAGGCATTTCAATTCTTGCTTTTAAAACTTTGGTGCATTCAAAGCATTACATATATCATTAAATTTGTCAGATAATTCAAGTAGTCGCTTGATAGCATCGTACTGAGAATTCCAATGTGTTGCCACGGGGTAGAGTATTGCTTTGTATTCAGGATTAAGATTCTAACACCCATCAAGTAACTTTTATTAAATAACTTGAAGATGGACGGTTAACCATTGTAAGTATGCCGCTTTTTTAGTCGGTGGTAGCTTATGAGGTTCAATTTTACCTTTGCAAGTCATTTCTAAATACTTTTGATATCTACAATAGAAATATTAATTTTTGGTTTTTTTAATACTTTTAACTACCAGAACGGAATTAACAGCTACTTTATAAAAAACAGGCTAGTATCACTTTAAGGTGTTCTTATATATATATATATATATATATATATATATATATATATATATATATATATATATATATATATATATATATATATATATATATATATATATATTTTATATATATATATATATATATATATATATATATATATATATATATATTAACAGCTACTTTATAAAAAATGATCCAAAGATGATTACCCTTTCCTGGCATAAAATAGACATTATACATGTTTTCTCTCCAATGATAAAAATTATAACAGTCATATCAGTGTCATAGGCTGCAACTACAACTTCGCTATTTAATACTAGCTGTAAAACGTTTGAAACAATTTTTTGTATACCCCTACACTTTTTTTCTATAAGACCTTATTTTTTTAAAGAAAATTTTAGATATAGAGGAACTTTTATGAAAATTTACGATTGTGCCCTCCCTCCATTACTTCGAAACCCGTGTCGTCGACAATGGTGATAATTTAAACGGTTTCCTTATCAACCCGTTTTTAAACAACGCAAGAGGTGTGGTAGTCAACTCATAAATAAAATAATGTTCAACATTGTCATCTCTTAGAGCAATTGCAACAAGTCTTGTGAAAAGAATGGTTGGGTTAACATGTATGGAGCTGCCTTCCTTCTGTTTTATTACATTATGCAATGAATTTAGCGGTTTTATTTGGTGTTCATTTTTTCAGCCTGATCTATAACAAAACAAAGGGTGGAGTAAAGGCATGTTTCATCAGAAGGATTTAGATTAATTATTGGAAGAGACATAACTAATGATATTTGCGGACAAATCTTTGTATCAGTTACTAACATTAAACCTGTCCAGTTAAGCCGCGGGTACTAAGAGAAACTGAAAAACCAGCCACCTTGCCATTACAAGTCAAACTTAAGTTCTCTGGTAAATGTAATCAGAGATGGCATTTCTCTGTAAGGTTTAAATTTAATCATCTGAAAGCCAATTTTACTACATCCTAAATAAGGTAATATTTTAACACCACGATCCATTATAAATCAGATGTTTTCTTTTTTTGTTTTAAACGTTTAAAAAGTTTCAACTGAAAAACCAGCCACCTTGGTATGATGAACTTGCTATCTATCAGGTGCTGATTTTTCATACAATTGAAGTACGCAGTTAAATCATTCATTTCTCTTTTTTTGCTGAACTTTATTAGCGTTTTTAATCCCTTCAATTTGGCAATAACATATGACTCTTTACTGAGTGTTTTGTCACAAATAAACAGTTTATTGCTTATCAAACACTTTTCTTCAACGGCAACTTGAGCCGTTTAAAAATAAATCAATATTTTTGCATCTACAAAAATGCAGAATACCGACTATATGACTTTGGAGAAATCGTTACTACAAAGAAGTTATAACCATAGTAGTCATGTAAACTAAAACCACGTTTATAACTGTTATATTAATAGAATAATAATTGTACCATTAAAGATTTGAATCTAATTTAAAATTAGACATTACACCGTAAATAAACATAAAACACTAATTCGTATAACTTTTATCATCATATAACTTTTAACTATAACTTAAAATTGTTTACTAAAACGTTCAATAAAAATATAAACATTTACAACATGCATGATTAACTTGACATGTAATATCAAGTGTTTTAATACCTATGGGTACTGTACACTCTAATTTGTTGCTATTGCACCAACGGGTTTTCCGTTATGTTAACGGATTGAAGCTCGTCGATATTAGTCCGTTGAAATTAAGGATTTATTCCGTTCGTGCAACAAACAGTTTGTTAAAATAAGGGAATTATTACGCTAGACGGCTTTTGCATTTTTTGGTAAAATAAAGAATTTACTCCGTTATCTTCTTTAATAATTTATTTTTCCTTTTATTAAAATTACAAAAATGCACTTTATTTTTAGTCTATAGATTATCTTATTATGATATTCAACATCTGATACAAGCAGCACTACTTATACCATGGAAGTATAAAACAGATGGAAGTTCATCGAGCCGCAAACATCAAAGCAATTTCAAGTCGTCTCGGGAGTATGTTTGTAACCGACAAGTTTCACTGGACAAAAAAGCAATAAAATTCACTGAAATGATTTTTATAAAAACATCAAAAAATGAATTATTTTAAGGATATGCTGCAAAGTTTTAACCATTAGTAATTGCAATTATTCAGCAAAAGGTTTATTAAAACTCGGTAATTAAATAGAACCACTTAATTTTAAAAGAACATGTTAGTTTAAGCTTCTTTTCTTGCTTCAAGTCGTAACACGACATTTG